AAAATTAGCTGGGTGTGGTGGTGGCATGTGTCTGTAGTCCCAGCTACAGGGGAGGTGGAGGCAGAGGAATCACTTGAACCTGGGAGTCGGAGATTGCAGTGAGCCGAGATCGCACCACTGCACTCCAGCCTGTGTGACAGAGCAAGACTCTGTCTCAAAAAAAAAAAAAAAGTTAATTAAAAGAAACTTAGGAAAGATTACTGTTTTCTTCATTCTAGATGCTATACTTTTCTTAGTACAGCTTAAGTTGTATCAGGGTTCATGTTCTGTTGTGTTCATAAGTTCATTTAAAATAATTCACAACTTTTTGCCATGTTGTTAAATTACATTTCTTTTATTCTGCTTTCATTTGGTTAGATTTTTTAGATTCAGATTCAGGAATTTATAATTTATTCTCACTCAGGTATCATCTTTGAGAGTGGGCACTCTATTATTTTGTGTGTTTTAACATCTGATACCTTGTCTGGAATATGACATTCCTAAATGTTTATGGATAAATATTAAATTTTCGTTTACTAAATATAAGTCGTCTACTTAGAGCATCATCCTTTTAAGTTATGATCCATTCACTGCTATCTTTCCCAGTTTCAATTTTTTGCAGAGTTTTTTTACCTTGCATTCTCTATTTTAATCCGTTTCTGATACAAATGTAAAACATATGATAAAGGGAAGTACCTTTTGAGAGAAGCTGTTCAAACAGTTATGAATCCATCATTTGAATGAACTTACCATTCCTCATTTTCCATACAGAGCTAAGGGACACTTGGCAAATATCCCATTCACACAGCCTTCATGTGTTGCATTTTTCTCATCTGCCAAAGATAGGAAACAAGGCTGGTGTTACAGGATTCGTGAAAGCACCATCTCTTAGCTTCCTGTGAGGGCCACTTCTTTCAATAAGGCTTAAATCATCTTTGTTCGTTTTTAGCAAAGGTAGATGCATTAAGGGCCAGATTGAGATGGTAAATATGTGTAAAGTACAAAGTCTGAAAGCAATTCAGGAATATAATAGTAGACCTATTGAAGCATGTTATCAATACAGGAAACAGAAAAGATGAAGCCAGAAAAACCACATCCAAGAACTGACTTTTTTAAAGTAGTGAAAGTTTGGAAGACTTCTAAAAGGTCTAAAATAACATGAGAAACACATTTAGTAGTGATGCATTCTGACTTCTTCATGTGGAGAGGGCTAAAAAGAATAAATTATATTCTTTTTGCATATTTCTTAGGAGAGCTATTTTGAGTTACGTGCGATATAAAAGGGATGATCAGAGGGTGTTTCCATAAATGAATATTTGAATATTCCCTTCATGAATATAAACTTAAATTACTCAAAATATATGCTTAACATTTTTTCCTGTTAAAATAGTGCATGATCGTTTTTGAAAAAAATTTAAAAATACATAGAAAAGAATCTCAAGATTGCCCAAACCCTGCAGATAATACTAAGGGTTACAGTTTTGATTGAGGAAGGCTTTGTAAGAGGTCTAAGCATAGATTATTTAGGGAGCAGATTATCTAGTTTATCAATTCACCAGTTTCTCGTTTAATAGAACAGTTATATCCTTTGTTGGTGCTTGCCCTTTGGCCTTTTTCAGCTTACTTTTTTCTTCTGAAGGAACAGGGCCAGAGTGGAGAGAAAGAGTTGAAAGTATGTTCCTTTGATTCTGAAAGCACTGGTGACAGGCCTGGCGCAATGGGATTGGAGTTGGCAGTAAAATGATACTTGGGGAGTTTCTTTTTATTTCTGGGTTCTTCGTGCTTTCTCATTGTCAGCAGCAGCACCCCCTCCTTCCTCTGATCACTGGCCATGAGAACAGCTCTTTGAAGAATCATCCTTGGGCAGAATTTGGTCTGGCAAGCAGTTTTCTTCAGTAAGAAAGACTATGCTGTTTATATAGTCAATAATATTAAGAAACAGATTTCCAGTGGCATGTCAGAGTCCCGCATTTCATAATTCTAGTGGATGCCATTTTTTATTTTTAAAGTTTTAGATTCGAGGGTATATGCGCATGTCTGTTACACCGGTATGTTGCATAATGATGGGGATTGAGCTTCTAGCGTACCCAACACCCAAATATTGAACATTGTATCTAAAAGGTAATTTTTCAACCTTCACCTCCTTTCTCCCTCCCCTTTTTTGGAGTGCCAAGGACCTGTTATTTCCATCTTTATTTGCATATGTACTTATTGTTTAGCTCTCACAAGTGAGAATGTGTGGTATTTGATTTTCCACTTCTGACTTAGTTCACCTAGGATAATGGCTTCTAGCTCCATTCAAGTTGCTGCAAAGATGATTCCATTCCTTTTTGTGGCTACATACTATTCCATTGTGCATATATACCACATTTTCTTTATCCAGTCCACCATTGATGGGCACCTAGGTTGGTTCCATGACTTTGCTATTGTGAATAGTGCTGTGATAAACATATGAGTGAAGTTGTCTTTTTGATACAATGATGCCTTTTCCTTTGGGTAGATACCAGGTAGTGGGATTGCTGGGTTGAATAATAGTGCTATTTTTAGCTCCTTGAGATATCTTCATACCGTTTTCCATAGAGGGTTGTCTGTTCCCGCCAACAGTGTAAAAGTGTTCTAATCCAACATCTGTTGTTTTTTGATTTTTTAATAACCGTTCTGACTGATGTAAGATGGTATCTCATTGTGGTTTTAATTTGCATTTCTCTGATGATTAGTGATGTTGAGCATTTCTTCATGTGTTTGTTGGCCTTTTGTATTACTTTATTTGAGAAATATCTGTTCAGGCCTTTTGCCCAGTTTTTAATGGGGTTGTTTGTTTCTTTCTGTTGAGTTGTTTGAGTTCCTTGTAGATTCTGGATGTTAGTTCTTTATTGGAGGCATAATCTGCAAACACTTTCTTTTTTTTGAGACAGGGTCTCAACTCTGTCACCTGGGCTGGAGTGCAGTGGTGTGATCTTGACTCACTGCAGCCTACGCCTCCCAGACTCAAGTGATCCTTCCACTTAAGCCTCCTTAGTTGCTAGGACTACAGGCGTGTGCCACCATGCCTGGCAAATTTTCGTATTTTTTGTAGAGACAGGGTTTTGCCATGGTTCCCAGGCTGGTTTTAAACTCTTGAGCTGCAGCAATCTGCCTGCCTCAGCCTCCCAAAGTGCTGGATTATAGGCATGAGCCACTACACCCAGCCAATATGGTCATTTTAGTGATACTGATTCTTCTAACCCCTGTGCATGGCATGTTTTTCCATTTGTTTGGGTGATCTACGTTATCTTTCATCAGTGTTTTGTAGTTCTCCTTGTAGAGATTTTTTACCTCTTTGGTTAAATGTATTCCTAGGATTTTTGTTGTGGCTGTCATTAATGGAATTCAGTTCTTTCGTTCTCAGCTTGAACATAATTGGTATATAGAAATGCTACTGATTTTTGTACAATTGATTTTGTATCTTGACTTTATTGAACTTGTTTATCAAGTCTAGGAGTCTTTGGAGGAGTCTTTTGGGTTTCCTGTCTATTGGAAGGAGTCTTTGGGGGCTTTCTAGGTATATAATTATGTCATCAGAGAACAGAGATAATGTGACTTTCTCTTTTCCAATTTGGATGCCTTTTATATCTTTCTCTTGCCCGATTTTTTTGGCTAGAACTTCCAGTATTATGTTGAATAGGAGTGGTGAAAGTGGGTGTCCTCATTTGTTTCAGTCCTTAGGGGAAATGCTTTTAACTTTTCCCAATTCAATATGATATTGGCTGTGGATTTGTCATATATGGCTCTTATTATTTTGAGGTATGTTCCTTAGTTTGTTGAGGGTTTTTATCAGGAAGGCATGTTGGATTTTGTCAATTGTTTTTTCTGTATCTATTGTATGATCATATGGTTTTTGTTTTTAGTTTATTGATATTTGCATATGTTGAACCATTTGCATATGTTGAACTAATTGGTCTGCCAATTAGTTTATTTGCATCCCTGGAATAAAACTCACTTGATTGTGATGAACTGTATTTTTGATGTGTGTTGGATTCAGTTTGCTAGTATTTCGTTGAGGGTTTTTGCATCTACAGATCATCAGGGATATTGGTTGGTAGTTTTCTCTTTTTGGGTGTCCTTGTGTGATTTTAGTATCAGAGTGATACTGGATTCATAGAAGGTGTTATGGAGTGATTGCACGTCCTCAACTTTTATAATAGTTTCAGTAAGATTGGTAGTAGCTTGTGTTTACATATGTGGTAAAATTTGGCTGTGAATGCATCTGGTCTTGAGCATTTTTTTTGTCGGGAGATTTATTATTTACTAGTTTAATTTCATTACTTATTGGTGTGCTTGGGATTTCTTTTTCTTTCTGTTTCAATCTTGGGAGGTTGTTTTCAGGGATTCATCCATTTCCTCTAGTTTTTCTAGTTTGTGTGCATAAAGGAGGTCATAGGAGTCTTATGATTATTTGTGTTTCTGTGGTATTGGTTGTAATATCACCTTTATCATTTCTGATTGTGCCTATTTGAATCTTCTCTTTTTTTTTTTTTCTTGATTAGCTAATGGTCTGCCAATTAGTTTATTCTTTTGAAGAACAAACTTCTCAATTTATTGATTTTTTTTTTTTTTTTTTTTTTTTTTTGAGACAGAGCCTTGCTTTGTCACCCAGGCTAGAGTACATTGGCATTATCTTGGCTCACTGCGACCTCTGCCTCCTGGGTTCAAATGATTCTCCTGCCTCAGCCTCCCAAGTAGCTGGGACCACACATATGCACCACCATGCCCTGCTAATTTTTGTATTTTTGGTGGAGATGGGGTTTTGCCATGTTGGCCATGCTGGTCTCAAACTTCTGACATCAGGTAATCCGCCCACCTGGGCCTCCCAAAGTGCTGGGATTACAGGCATGAGCCACCACGCTCGGCCAGTTTGTTGATTCTTCTTTTTTTTTTTTTTTTTTTTTTTTTTGTCTCAATCTCATTTAGTTCTGCTGTGATCTTTGTTATGTTTTTTTTTCTTCTGCTAGCTTTGGATTGGTTTGTTCTTGTTTTTCTAGTTTCCTGATTTGTGATATTAGGTTGTTAATTTGAGGTCTTTCTATCTTTTTGATGTAGGCATTTAATGTTATAAACTTTGCTCTTAGCACTACTTTTGTTGTGTTCCAGAGGTTTTAGTATGTTGTGTCTTTGTTTAGATTCATTTCAAAGAATTTTTTTTTATTTCTGCCTTAATTTCATTGTTTACCCAAGAGTTGTTCAGGAGCAAGTTGTTTAGGTTTCATGTACTTGCATAGTTTTGAGAGTTCTTCTTGGAATTAATTTCTAATTTTATCCCACTCTGGTCTGAGAAGATACTTGATATGATTTTGATTTATTTGATTTTATTGAGACTTGCTTTATGACTAAGCATATATGGTTGATTTTTGAGAATGTTCCATGCACAAATGAGAAGAATGGGTATTCTGTGGTTGTTTGGTAGATTGTTCTATAAACGTCTATTAGGTCCATTTGGTCTGTGGTCCAGTTTAAGTCTCAAATTTCTTTGCTGATTTTTTGCCTTGATGATCTGTCTAGTGATTGGTCAGTGGAGGTGTTGAAGTCCCTCACTATTATTGTATTGATATCAATCTGTTCTCTTAGGTCTAGTAGAATTTGTTCAATAAATCTGGGTGCTCCAGTGTTGGTTGCATTTATATTTAGAATAGTTAAATTTTCTTGTTGTATTGAATCCTTTATCGTATATAATGTCTCTGTCTTTTTTTTTTTTCAAATTGTTGTTGAAGTCTGTTTTACTTGATATGAGAATGGTGACTTCTCACTTTTGTTTTCCATTCTCATAATGTCTTTTTTCTCCCTTTTACTTTTGAGTCTAAAGGTGTCTTTAGCTAGTAAGTGAGTCACTTGTAGGCAGTAGATGGTTGGGTCTTGTATTTTTTTTTTTAAATCTAGTTTGCTACTCTATATCTTTTAAGTGGGGCATTTAGGTCATTTACATTTAAGGTTAGTATTGATTAATTAGTGAGGTTTTATTCCTGCATTGTGTTGTTAGCTACTTGTTTTCAGAGTTTCAACTGTGTAATTGTTTTATAAGGTCTGTGAGCTTTGCACTTACATGTTCTTTTATGATGGTGAGTATTGTCCTTTCATTTCCATGTTTAGAATTCCCTTCAGCATTTCTTGTAGGATAGGTCCAGTGGTGATAGATGCCCTTAGTATTTGCTTGTCTAGAAAATGTTTTTTTAAAAATTTCTCCTTCATTGATGAAGCTTAGTTTGGCAGGATGTGAAATTCTTGGCTGGCATTTTTTTTTTTTTTCTTTAAGGAGGCTAAACATAGGTCCCAATCTCTTCTGGTTTGTACGGTTTCTGCTGAGAAGTTTGCTGTTAGTCTGTTGGGTTTTCCTTTATAGGTGATTTGACCCTTCTCTCTAGTTGCCTCTAAAATTTTTTTATTTAGTGTTGACTTTGGATAGCCTTGGTGAAGTTCATCTTGCAAAGTATCTTGCAGGTGTTCTCTGAATGTCTTTTATCTAGATGTTCATATCTCTAGAAAGATTAGAGGAGTTTCCTGAATTATTCCCTTAAATATATTTTCCAGGTTGCTTACTTTTTCTTCTTCCCTCTCAGGAATACCTATAGGTCATAGGTTTGGCTGCTTTACACAGTCCTGTACATCTGAAATGCTTTGTTCATTTTTAAAAATTCTTTTTTCTTTAGTTTTGTCTAAGTTAATTTGAAAGATTGTTTTTCAAGCTATTTTAAAAAAAATTATCAGTTAGCAATATGGATTGGAGGTCTTTAAGCTCGGAAATTCTTTCTTCTGCCTAGTCCAGTCTATTGTTAAAACTTTCAACTGTGTTTTGAAATTTCCTAAGTGAATTTTTCATTTCCAGAAGTGGTGGGCTTCCCTCCCCCATTTTTGTTTTTTTAAAGGATATTATTCTCTTTCTTTATTTCTTGGATTGCTTTCATGGATTCAGCCTTCTCTTGGATCTCATTGAGCTTACTTGCAATCCATACTCTGAATTATTTATCTGCCATGTCTGAATTTTCATTTGGTTAAGGTCTGTTGCTAGAGAGCTAGTGTGATCCTCTGGTGGTGTCACAACATTTAGATTTTTCATGGTGTCAGAATTTTTAGGCTGGGCGTAGTGGCTCATGCCTGTAATCCAAGCACTTTGGAGGCCAAGGCGGGTGGATCACCTGAGGTCGGGAGTTCAAGACCAGCCTGACCAACATGGTGAAACCCCGTCGTAAAAAAAAAAAAAGAATTTTTATGTTAGTTCCTTCTCATCTAGAGAGGCTACCACTTTTTAAAAAATTATTTTCATTTAGATGGGGTTTTCTCCCCCCTTTCTGTTTCCACCTTTTCTAGTGGTGTAACTATAGAGTAAGTATGTTGGGTAGGGTCTTTTGGCTTCACTTAAATAGCCTTGTGTACTTCTGTCTCCAGGTTTTATAATGGGCTGTGCAGTTTGACCTTTAGGCCAGTAGGTGGCACTATGGGTCAGAGCCAGTTGCTGCACAAGCAGATGGGTATGTACTTGACTTTTATTTACTGTGACTTGTCCTATGTTGTTTCAGGTGATGAGCTGGACAGAGGAGTGCCTGGTGCCTTGAGGTTCCTGTTCAGATTGGGGAGGGGAGGCACAGCTGGGCAGAACTGGATTCCCTAGCCTGCCCATGAATATCCCAGTGATGAGCTCAAGCACCAGCCCTGGTGGGGGTGGCTAGGGGGAGCTCCTGGTGAGAGGTCTCTGCAGGAGTTGAGAGGTAGGCACTGGCTCAGTGGGTACCATTTCGACTCTGGATTATAAACATGGTGACTTCCAGAGCACATCAGCTGGCCTATCTACACTCATTCCTTTTCTCCCCTAGGGAGAGATTTTAACGTTGATGGAAAAGCTTGAAGGACATTATATTTTTATTCATTTTTGAAATTTTGTTTTATTTTATTTTTAAATATGGACTAGCTTTTATCTCATTGTGCAGGAACATAGCATATCGTGTTGGATTTATTGAGGAAGTTAAATTTAAATTGGCTCTGCTGTCTAAGATTTGATTGAGAGAAAAAGTGTAAACAAAGATAGCTGTAAACTTTTCACTTGAAAATAGTTCTACTTAGTGATTAAAAATTAGAGCAGTATTCAAATGAACAATAAAAAGATAAGTAATTCAATTAAAAATGGGAAAGGAATCTAAATAGTTATTACTCCAAAGAAAATATACAATTGCCATTAAGTAAAGATTCTCAGCATTATTAGTTATTAAGCAAATGCACACCAAAAACTACAGTGAGATGCCACCATACCCACTAAAATGGACAAGAACAAGTATTAGCCATGCTATTGAGAAATTGGAACTCTCATACATTATTGGTGAGAATATAAAATCACATAGCTGGCCGGGCATGGTGGTTCATGCTGGTAATTCAAGTACTATGGGAGGCTGGGGTGGGAGGATTGCTTGAGCCTAGGAGTTCAAGACCAGCCTGGGCAAGATGGCAAGACACCATTTCTATAAAAAATAAAAATGAAAAAAAAAATGAGAAAAATCACATAGCCACCTTGGAAAACAGCCTAGTAGTTCTTCACAGTGTCAAACATAGAGTTACCAATAGCAATTCCACATACCATATATTTGGCACTCCATAGCAATGCTAGATATATAATTAAGAGAAGTGAAAATAAATGTCCACACAAGAACTTTTTTGTGTGTATGTGGGGTGGGGGGGGTGGGGTCTCATTCTGTTGCCCAAGCTGGAGTGTAGTGGCACAATCTTGGCTCACTGCAACCTCTGCCTTCTGTGTTCAAGCAATTCTCTTGCCTTGGCCTCCCAAGTAGCTGGGACTACAGGTGTGCGCTACCATGCCTAGCTAATTTTTGTATTTTTAGTAGAGATGGAGTTTTGCCATGTTGACCAGGCTGGCCTTGAACTCCTCACCTCAGGTGATCCAACTGCCTCGGCCTCCCAAAGTGCTGGGATTACAGGTGTGAGCCGCCATGCCCAACCGAAAACTTGTACATGGATGTTCATAACAGCATTATTTGCAATGGCCACAAAATGCAAATAACCCATATATTATCAACAAATGGTTAACAAAATGTGGTATATCTATACAATGGAATAATATTAGGCTATAAAAAGGAATGAAGTACTGTTATATGCTACCACGTTAATGAATTTTGAAAACATGCTAACTGAAAAAACTAAGCATAAAGACTACATATTTTATGATTCCATTGATATGAAATGTCCAGAATAGGCAAATCCATAGACACAGAATGTAGATTAGTCATTGTTTGGGACCAGAGGAGGTAGTGGGAAATGAGGAGTGACTGCTAATAGATGGATAGATTTGGGTGACAAAATATTATAAAATTAGATGTGGCAATAGTTGCACATCTCTGTGAATATACTAAAAACCATTGATTGTAAACATTAATTGGATGAATTTTATGGTTTGTGAATTATGTCTCAATAAAGTTGTTTAAAAACTTAAAAGTTGGCCAGGTGCTGTGGCTCATGCCTGTAATCCCAGCAGTTTGGGAGGCCGAGGCAGGTGGATCACGAGGTCAAAAGATCGAGACCATCCTGGCCAACATGGTGAAACCCTGTCTCTAATAAAAATACGAAAATTAGCTGGGTGTGGTGGCATGCACCTGCAGTCCCAGCTACTCAGGAGCCTGAGGCAGGAGAATCGCATGAACCCAGGAGGCAGAGGTTGCAGTGAACCGAGATTGAGCCACAGCACTCCAGCCTGGTGACAGAGTGAGACTCCGTCTCAAAAAAAAAAAACAAAAAACCAAAACCAACAAAAAAGCAAAAGTTAGAGCAGTAAAAACAGGGCAAAATCAGGGCACATATTCCAAAGTACTAACTGTAATTGAAGTTCGGTGTGTTATTTTTCATAGCCTCCATCAGCCAAATAACAATATTTTTCACTACTAAAAACACATTTCTTCTAACATCTGAGTATAATATTTAGGCTGTACTCAGGAGTAGAAGAAACACATCCTTTTATTCAGTTAGAGTTTTAATAACTGTGCTTTCTTTGATGGTACGAATTCTAAACTTGGAACAGTATGAAGATTTAGCATGACTCTTTTGCAAAGGTACATGTACATCAGTGCAGTGTTCATATATTTAAAAACCTTTATTGAAGGAAATAAGAGTTGAATAAATGTGTAAAGATGTGACCATACAAAAAGACAACAATTCTCTGTAGATTTCCCTAATAATGTAGTGAATTCCCAGTCAAAACTCCATCAGGACTTGCTTGTAATGTTATAATGACTAACTGAAATTCATAAACAGGAATGAAGGTGTAATAATAGCAATCCCACAGAAAGAGTATTAAATAGTGAACTTGCCTCAATTGGCTTACAGGTCTCAGAAAGGCATGATAATAAAAATGGTGTGACTAGTGCAGAGAGAGGCAAATATGTGCCCAGAAACAGACCGGTGCACATATGGAAAACTGCTATGCGTAAGAGATTGCAGGATAATCCAGTATGTCAAACTGTCAGAATTATGGAATCAACACATGCCAGTGAGGAAGTCAGCAGGATGGTAAAACTGGTAAGAGCATTTGGAGAACTGAGGAAAAAGTGCTGGAATAAGGTCTGTTATGCACAAAACTGGTGACCCTTCAGCAAGGTAATAAAACCATAATCTTACCACAGAGAAATTATGCTAAAAAATCTATAAGTTAACATAATTTTACAGAGTATAGGCTTTACGAGTAAATACGAAGCCAAACAAAGTATATACTTCGTAGAGAATGAAATGTTCCTTGGGTGGGCCTGTCAGAAATGCTCCAAGGTCTTCGTTTTGCCTTGTTTCCAAGCTGTTATGACAGGTAGATGAGTTATTCCTTGCCTATCCTTGCAGGAAAGAATTAAATTTAGCCCAGACCATACACAAAGTGGATTCTAGATTATACTTGTATGTTTGCAATATTATTTTCTCTACTTTATAAATTTGAAGCACTTCTTACTAAAAAAATGAGAAAATGGGTTCTTAAACACTAGACAGTACTTTCAATAAATGAGTTAGGTCTATATCTAAAAAAATCCTGTTGAATAAAAAAATCAGTTTGTAGCATGATGTGCTTATTGTGATATTAACGTAAATCTAGACATACTGTAGAATTTCTGTGACTTCATGTACATGTGTATACAAACATAAAGGACTAGAAGAATCTAAATCTAAACTTTTATACCTCAGAAAAGATGAATAAAATATCATATTATTTTATTAATAATCCTTATATTCTGTTAAATTCAAGTATGTTGTACCAGGTAAAGATACAGTAATTTTAGCTTTTGTTAACAGATTAATTTACTCACAGTAATATTTTAACTAGTTTGAGCGTTAATTCCTGAATCGAATATTATTAAAATATGAGCAGTTCAGTGTTCTACCTAAGGAGTGGGAGGGGGAAACTTATGAAGTATTTGAAGAAGCAAGACAAAGAAAATATCTTACTGGAACAAGTGGGAAGTTCCTAGTTAGAGGTGAGTTGGTGGTTTCTGATTGGCTAAGTTTAAGTTTCATTTCCACTGTTTACATTGAGTGGAGTTTCCATTTGCTTATATAGGAACCATCTTTGCTGAATGGCCTCCCAATTCATGATTACTATTATTTGAGATGGAGTTTCACTCTTGTCACTCAGGCTGGAATGCAATGGGGTGATCTTGGCTCACTGCAACCTCTGCCTCCCGGGTTGAAGCAATTCTCCTGTCTTAGCCTCTCAAGTAACTGGGATTACAGGTGGCGCCACCATGCCTGGCTAGTTTTTGTATTTTTAGTAGAGATGGGGTTTCAGCATGTTGGCCAGGCTGTTCTTAATCTCCTGGCCTCAAGTGATCCTCCTGCCTTGGCCTCCCAAAGTGCTAGTATTACAGGCGTGAGCCACTTCGCCCAGCCCCAATTATTTTAGCGCTTTGAAACATATGTTTACCTGGCACAACAAATCTATGTTATATCTAATGCGTTGTATATCTGACATGTCAAATCAGTGGGGGAAAAGATGTGACATGGCAAAAGATTAGGGAAAAAATTACATAGCACTATCTTGTACCATCTATTGAAACTATAAATGAATAAACAAATTACATATTAAAAAGTAAAACACAGGTAAAACTGTGTTATATAATCTTTGTAGAGGGAAGGTTTTTCTAAGTATGCCCTCAAAATCAGAAATGTTAAAGACAAAAGCTATAGTTATGACTGAGTAAAAATTTCAATATTGGGGAGACTTTTATTAAAGCTAAAGGCAAATGTGAAAAGGGGGCTATTTTAACAGTACATTTCAGAGACTGTGTGTTTCTAGTCCTTGAAAATGAGTCTATAAGTGAACAGATGGGCAAGAATGGTCCAAATGGGTAGATAGCCTTTTGAGTCACTCCTCTTTCCCTGCTTGTAAACAGAGCTGATGGTCACTGCCCAGAGTCTTATTTATGGAAGTGGTACCTGTATTCTCCAAATAAAAAGTTTTTTTGTGATGGAAATAACCTGCCTTCAAATGACATTTCCCCTTGCCTGTGGAGTTTTCTTCCCTCCTACCACCCACACCTAACCACCCTTGTAAGAACAACTTTAGTTTTGCCTGACACGAATGTAAAATTTAGGGAACTTGGTATGTGCAAGATAAAAATGAATGTCTAGTGTAAAATATTACAGTGCATTGGGAAGTATGAACTTCCAATGGGATAAAAACAAACTCCACTTAATTGAGGGCATTTTATATCTTTGCTTTTTTTTGTTTTTGTTTTTTTTGAGATAGAGTTTTGCTCTTGTTGCCCAGGCTGGAGTACAGTGGCACGATCCTCGCTCACTGCAATCTCTGCCTTCTGGATTCAAGTGATTCTCCTGCCTCAGCCTCTTTAGTATCTGGGATTACAGGCATGAGCCACCACACCTGGCTAATTTTTGTATTTTTGGTAGAGATGGCGTTTCACCATGTTGGCCAGGCTGATTTTGAACTCCTGAGCTCAGGCGATCCACCCACCTCGGCCTCCCAAACTGCTGAGATTACAGGCGTGAGCCACTGTGCCCATTGTGTATCTTAGAAATTAAAAACAAAAACAAAACTTCTCCAATAGGATAGTCAAGAACCTTTTTCTACCTCTTTTGTTGATGACTCAAGCTCTTCTTTGTGAGATGTGTACTCTTAAAGTGAGTGGAAGTGGAAGGAGATTGGCAATTCTATTATAATACAGGGCAGGACTTACTCTTAAACTCTTTCTTGAAGTTTGCTTCTCTGAGTGGACCTGCCCTTATGGTGTGTCTGTTGAGATATCTTTGGCTCAATAAACTGGCCTAAGATTCTGCAAGGCAGATTGGTTTTCACCTTCTCTGTGTTACTTCAGCTTTCTGTGGTATATATTTAATAGGAAATAAGACAGCTTATAAAAAATAAAGTCCTTGCAAAATACGTACCCTTGCCTTCAGGTATGTATTTTTAGGAAATAATTAGGCAAGTGAGTAAAGGGGGGGCTCATTATAGTAGTTTGTAATGCCAAAACTTTGGGAGCAACCTACATGCCTGAAAATGAGGAGCAGGTAACAAATTATGGTATTTCCAGTCAGTAGAATGCTGCAGATGCTATGATAAAGCAGCTCTGGATTTATTGAGAAGAAAAGATTCAGGATAATTCCTGTATATAATTAATTATACTGTATATCATAACCCATTATAATAAATATCTTTAATAAAGTTTCATTAAAGTATATATAGATTCACTTGGGAAAAAACCTGGAAGGATATATACAAGATACAATCCTATCTTTGGGTGGAGAGCTGTGGAGTAATTTCAGTTAACTTATTTTTTGTGTACTAGAATGAAAAAAAGGTTATTAGGGCTATATTTCAGGAATGTTTGACACATAACAGTAGAATTTTGTTGCTTAATTTTTTAAATTGATAAGAAATGGAGGTAAGATGTATAAAAATAATTGGAAGGCTTGTCTTGTATAATTGCACCGGTGTAGACTTTTCTCACAGGACAAAGAAATAAAAAACCTCACTCTGCCTTTTTAATTAACAGATCTTCTCACTCAGATATGGCGACAAGCAGCCTTCACTTTGCGTCATGTGATAAGCAGGCACCCAGACAGCGCGGAGCATCTACTGTGAGCAGGTCAGGAAGGGTTGTGGGTATTCCTGGGGAAAGAGGGGAGAACAGTCCAACCCTTGAAGGAACATTATACTGATATCTGCATAGTGCTTTGCATTTGACAAACCGGTGAGGTCAGGAGAGTCCTAGGCAAGTAGAGTGCCCATTTTATAAATCGGAGAAGGAGACAAGGTGGCTGCTAAGACACTCAGCGAACAGGAGGCACTGTTACATGAGAGCAAAACAGAATTCAGCCTTTGGGGCACAACTCCCTTTCAAGTCATTTTTATCTTTAAAGATTTTTAGCAGTTATTTTTATTATAAAATAATAAATCACACTGCCAAACATTGGAGGACAGGAGAACCATCCACCGTAATGATGACCACTTGAATGCATAATTTTGGTGTCTTTCCTTCCAGTCTTTTCCTAGGCATGTGCTTCTTGACACAGTTGTAGCCATAATAGAATTTTTCATCAAATATTATATTATGATTATTTCTCTTTCTTACATTTTTCTCATAATCTTGGCCTAAAAATACATTTTAAGTATACTGTTTAGTAATCTACTTTTTGCAATTTAATATAGCATGACATTTTCCATTAGTTATTTTTCTGTGATATCATACTTGGTTAATTCTTGTTCCTTTCCAGACCATTTTAGAATTAACAGATTCTCTCTTTGAACATGAAAGTTGTTTTTTATGAGTTATTAAGGCAGCTCTGTTAAAGCTGTTTTAGTACATGAGAAAGCACTTTTCATCCATCCTTACAGGTTTATTAAACTTTTAAAATTATACAGCAGATCGTTAGCAGTTCAGATTTTGCATTTGAAATTTCTGCTATGCATGTGTTCTTTATACTTGTGGGCTTAATATTTTGTCTTACAAGTCTACCCTCACAACATACAGGAGAAGTTACAGAATGGAGATAAAGTTGAAAATAACTTGTAGGCCGGGCATGGTGGCTCACACCTGTAATCCAAGCACTTTGGAGGCCAAGGCAGGTGGATCACCTGAGGTTGGGAGTTCAAGACCAGCCTGACCAAAATGGTGAAACCCCGTCTTTAAAAAAAAGAAAGAAAATAAATAACTTCTAAGAATCTTAAGCCATTTGTTTTCCTATCCTTTTTTACTGCGTATGTCCCTACTCATGGAATTTTGTGTTTTCTTCAGAAAGAAGTGCTCTTCCTTCATAGTTAGCCTCTAACTCATCCAATAGTTTCCTAAGTAACTACTGTATCAACATTAATAATGTTGAGTTTGAAAGCTATAATAAAATAAATGAAAACTACTGAAAGCAATAATAAATAAGGGTATGACACGCACAGACAGCAACGAGCTGCATCTGTAGACTGGAAGTCTTCTGCGTGCACGTAGTTGTTGAAGTGATGAACCACACCTGTTTCCCGGCGAGCCATAACAAAAGAAGAGGATGCAGGAAGGAACCTTCGGGAACACAGAACATTGAAGGATGGCTGAGGCAATGACAGTTCAAGCAAGAGCTACGTAGATGTGTGAAAGAGGAAGACTCTATGAGTTGGTGGCCACAGGACAGGCAAGGGAATTGGGGGAGGGGCGAGTTCTGGAATGCAGTCAGCAGAGCCAGGTGTGGCAAAGAGGTCTTCAAGGATACAGGTGGAAAAGTATCCTTTGCATTTCATAGTGAGGCCATTAGAGACCTTTAGCTCATAAGGTTTCAGGGAAGTTGGGGAAGGAGTCAGCTGCGTGGCTAAAGGTGAATGGGAGGTGGGGAATTCGGGAGGGTGAGCATCAGTTCTTTTTTGAAGCTCTTGCCTATGAAGGGAAGGAGTGGGAGAAGGGTGTGTTAGGAGAGAAAGCAAGATTGAGGGAGTTATCTTTCTTGCTAGTTTTACTTTAAATAGAAATGAATGAGATTTGTGTATATTTCTGAATTGGGAAGGAGTCAAAGAGTGGAAGAGGTTAATGATATATAAAGAAGGAAATGGAGGTGAAATATAAGAAATAATTGAAGTGTTTTCATGATAGCACAGGGTGGGCATTCCTAATCCAAAAATCCAAACTACTCCAGTGAGCAGGTTGTGTGTGTGTGTGTGTGTGTGTGTATGTGTGTGTGATGTGGGTGCTCAAAAAGTTTCAGATTTTGGAGCATTTCAGTTTTGGATTTTCAGATTAGGGTGCTCAACCTGTATTCACATTTGCAGTTTTCATAGTCTTTTTCTTTTCAAAAACTAAATAATAGACATTCTCACTCTGCCTTTTAATTAATAAGTCTTCTAATGCATGTGTCAAAGCAAGCCCTTAGAAATGTAATGTGGAGCAGCCTAAAAGAACAGTTGCAAAGTGAAGGAAGCTTGGATGTGGACAAGAAGTGTGGCTCTGAAGCAGTTAGTCTGAACAGAACGGGATAGTGCCATATCTCATATGTTACTCCTCCTGGGACTTTTTAACACATAGCTATTTGCTTCTTAACACAAGGTTGTGAGGCAGCCATGGAGGGAGTTTAGGTCACCATTTAACAAGTGAGACACGCTGGATGTCAAGTGACATAGCCGCTGCCACAGCCAGGCCGTGGTGGAATTGCAACTCGATGCTCCACCTTCTCTTTTCCAGGCTAGTGCACCTTTCATTAACCCATTTGCCTCCTTGCTTATAGTCCCTTCCACTTGTTTAGTCTTACAAAGTGTTTCGAAAACCACAGTTTCTTTTGATTCTCCCTCCAACCTTGAAAGAGCCAAGAGAGAATCTTCCCACGAAAGGATCCTCATATCCAGAGAAGTACATGATCTGTTAAAATGCCTCATCACTCTGAAATTCTTGGAGTTAAAGTTTCCTGCCAGTGTCCTTAAAGGGCACCAGTGATAAACCTTAAGACATTTGACAGTTTTGTGTTCATCACTTCATGTCTGTTTACATACTAGTTTTTGAAACAACTGTGTTAAGGTCACTTTGGAAAAATGAGGAAAGACTCCCCACCCTGGCCAGAGCTTTGCCATCACTTTACTTTCTCCTGTTACCACATCTCTTCATTAGAGGTGGGAGACATATTGTTGGCTCATCAAATATGTATTTTTCTAGGAGAAATGGGCTGAACACAAGGTTGCTCAATTTACCATCTCTAAGATAAAATGTGTCTTTTTTATTTACTTGAGAAAGTCATCCAAACAGAGCAGGGGTCTAGGGCCTCAGAATGAAAGGAATAGGGAGAAAACATTTGATAGACTTCTTTATACTTCACTTACCAAGCCTAGCTATGTCAGCCCCATGTGGGTACAGAGCATTGGTGGCTTTAGTTACTGAGTGAAGGTTGGCATTGGGAAATCCCAGAATTACGCAGGGAGTTCAGGCTGCTCAGGAGACTGAGTTCCAGAGACCGTTCAGTGGGATGAGGTGTCCAAATGGCTCAGTCATGAAGGTTATGGCAAAATGTTGGCCAAGGGCTTGTGAGAGAAGAGGGTGACTCTCCCTTGGATTGGTTAGTAAGGAATGCAGGATAGAGGGAGTTGTTTCATGAGTACAGAGTTTCAGTTTTGCCAGATGAAAAAGTTCTACAGATTGAAGTGATGAGCCACACCTGTGTGGTTCACACAGCGTGACTGTACTTAACACTACTGAACTGTATGCTTGAAAATGGTTGTGGTGATAATTTTATGTAATGTGTATTTTACCACAATTTTTTTTTTAAAAAAAGAATGCAAGACAGATTGCCCAGCTGTTATTACACAGAGTTAAGTCTGGCTTTTACCTCCTTTGTGTTAGAAGGGTACCAAGTGTATTTTCCATGCCATTACCACGTCTATACCACGCCCCCTGGGAATGATCCCTCTTAGTTTAACAGCTGCAACAACAAAAACCCTGACTGGGCTCAGGAATGCTGAGGCAGGCTTTTGGGAGTACATCCCACCTTCTCACTCTACTTATGTTACTCTTTCTTGCTTCTTCCTAATTCATTGAGCCTTCGCCTAATGAGCTGGCTTAGTTGCTTAACCAGAGTAGTTAACCAGTGTTTGCCAAGAAGCCATTTCACAATAAGTTATTTTTATTAGAGACATATTAGGCAATGTAAAAGTATTACCTTATATAACAATGAGATATTGAAAAGCAGCCTATTATAATTGTAACAAATCGGGCTAGGAAGAAGTGGCATTAAGGTACAATAATTTAAATGAATTTATACATCATGTTTTGGTTATGGAGACTAAGTGCTTTTAAAAAAAGAATGAACAAAAAAGCCAACTCTTTCTGTTAATGAACAGATCTACTTAAGTAGGCATAACCTGAGCACTGTGGTACCACAGCAGTGGCTCTGGGTCAGAATTCTGCTCTCCTAGGGGCTAGACGCAGAGACCTGGCACCCAAGGCCTCCGTTCTGAAGCCACTCTCTAACAAAGGAAACCAAGGCTCCTGGCTGATTCCAGTGCCAGGGCAGGGAAAGTACACGATGAACCTAGAAGATCTTGTGCTAGAAAGTAAAGAATTGTGGAAAAAATGACAGGGCTTGTCGAAAGAACACGGGAGCAACATAAAGAGGGTTCCAGTTGCCAAATCCAGGTCAATTTGAGAAAGAAATAATGACCGTAATGAGTTATATAGCCCACAGAATCAATTAATACCGATGTGTTCATAGGATGTAAATAATTGGGGAAACATGTCAGTGGTAGGAGGGAGAGCTCTTCCCTTACTCATTGTGAGTAATGTAGAAATGATGGGAACAGGAAATTGCTGTTTGATAAACCACAATGGTAATGGGTATAGACAAGAACCCTCAGTGGACACCGAAGTTAGGGACCGATGTGTGTTGTGAAATGGGGTGTCTGCAGAGTCTTGAGAACCTCCCCTGAAGATGCTTAGTGACTCCCAAGGGAACAATAGTAACCTCACAGTAGACACCACCCTAGCTATGCGGTCATCACCAGAAACAAGCAGTGCACACAGCTCATAGCCCTGATATCACGCACTGAGTACACGGCATCACTGCTGTGGTTTTCTTACCCCAAATGTCTCTCATCCAGCTACTAACCCAGCTTGACCCTGCTTAGCTTCTGAGATCGGACAGCACAGGGTGTGTTCAGGGTGATACGGCTGTAGACTCTTGCCCAAAATGTGTAACCTGAATCTGATTATGAGGAAACATCAGACAGACCCAAAAAACATGCTGTAAAATAATTTTCAGCAACCTTCAAAAATGTTACGGAAGAGGTTGTCTGGGGGAACTGGGTATACAAACTCTGTCCTCTTTTTGCAACCTTTTGGAAGCCTGAAATTATTTGGAAATGAAAGGAGAAGAAAAAAAAGAACTCTGCTTCTCCATTTGAGTCTGAAGGATGAACACAATTATTCACGCAAGGAGAAACCAGGCACTTTTATTCTTTCAAAGATCATAATGTTTACATCATTCTTTTTAGTGCATAATGTGGTTGCATTTTTACCTTTTCATCTACATTTTTGTCTTTTCTGATGCTCACAGTGGCAATGTTAATAATACCCGTGGGGTGGATACTGTCATATCCTCATACCCCTTTCATAGCTGAGGAAACAGACTTGAGAGGTTGATGACTTGCCTGGAAATCTTGCCATCTAACACAGCCCGCTATAGACTGTGAGCTTACAGTGTCCCTTGTCTCCCTTGGATAATGAATGAGAAACAGCAACAGGAGCTTCTGTTGTCTGGCTGTCTAGCCCCAGTTGCTTATGAGCTTCTGGACTCCTCACACTTGAATCAATAGACCTGAGGCTTCTTGCCCTGGAGCTCTTGAGGGCAGGGAGATCCGGATCCACAGATGCAGGGGACTTGATTTGGATTTGCTTGCAAAAGAACCCTGGATACTTCCACACATATTAGTAAAAGTCTCCGAAGAGTAGACTTGTCCCCCTATCATTCTGTGCATACAGATTCTAAGGGTTTAGTTCTTGTTTTGGAAAAATGGTTCCTTTTTGGCCTAAGCTGAAATATTGATGCAAGAGTCAGACCTATGGAGATCAAATTCTCAGCTTCATTATTCACAAAGACTGTATTGGAGGATGTATTATAGCTTAGATGTGTGGAAAACGGGCTGCTTTTTGACACAGCCCTGAATGGAATTTCAGCCACAAATTGCAGGCCTCCCTTGTGAGGGTGGTGGTTGGGGGATGCGGGGATGGTAGAGCCTGCCCTGCTAGCTCACTGCATCGCAGAGAGAATAGACTTTCATGCACCCCATTTTCCCGTTAAGAAAGGGGCTGGGCCATTTATGCCCTGTGTGTTTTTCCAACTTACCAATCAGATAATTCATTCCTTTCCCAGAGGAGGAATGATGAGGGGAGGGGGGAGGGGAGAGGGGAGAGTCCAGGAGCGTTCATCTAGTGAAGTCCCTATTCAGGGAAGTCTGAGGCCTTGGAGATAAGAATGTTCATTTCCTCAGGGTACAGAGAGGATACCTCTTGGATGAGGGTCTTGTGACTTGCTTCAGGGGAGAAGGGTGAGGGGATATGATTATTATATATTGGTTTTGTAGACTTTTATTTATTGTTACACAAATAACAGAATCCCTTCTTTACCTTTAAATCAATAGATCTCATTAATCAGATATGTTAATAGTAGGAGGTCATCAGATTATGAGCAAGTGCAGATAAACTTTGCCAGGTCACCACGTATGTGCATCGTATGTGGTTCTTAGCAGAGGAGGCGGGGCAGTTTGATACTCCTGGAGACTTGTAGTAATGCCTCAGTATATATAAATGCTTATATTTTTAATTCCAGAAACTTCCTCCATCTTTGCAACTATCTTGTATAGTAGTAACTGCAGGCTTAATGATCCCTATCTTACAGATGAGGAAACTGAGACAGAGCTGAAGTGAGTTGTTCAATATTATGGAACTGGGAAGTGGTGGAGAAAAGACTTTTTCCTTTGTTCTTATTTAAAATGTTACTTTTATGTTTTAAAATTTTTGTGAATCAGTTTTTCATTATAAAAGTAATGTGAGCAGAGTTCAGAAAATTTGGAAAGAGGAGAAAAAAGTCACCAGCTATCTCCCTGCCCAACAGAAGTGAGTAAAAATTGTGATTTCTAGAGGAAAGAGACAAACCTCCAGATAAGTAATAGAAGATGGCCTTGGGAGGATGCAGCCTAGTTCTCTAGGATCACAGTTTCAGGGGAATCAGTATATTGTGGGAAACCTTTGACTTCTCTTGAGGTAAAAGGGAGTCAGGAAATGAATAAAAGGTTCTGATTCCAGAGCCCACATGCTCATTTATTATGTAGTTTTTTTTGTAACCAAGCTTATTAAGTAATTAATAAAGGAAGAATTGGAATGTAGGTGATAATGATACTAGTATAGTTCCAGATTTTTATAAGTTATGTATTCATTTTGTATGTATATATTTTAAAATAGACAAAAAACTCATCCTGCCTTAAGTTAATCTTTTAAATTAGAGACATGAGGAGCTGTCACTTCACTGAAGATATATATTATGAAAGGTACCCGGGCATGTCCCCAGCAGGTCAGGAAGGTGACTATGTGGGCTGAGCACCACGGTTTTTGGAGAATTAGACATGGTTGTTAACTTGAATAGGGTTTGAAAGTTCACAAAACACACTCATAGTAACCATTCCTTGGCTTCTCTTGCAAACGTTGTGAAATGAGAGCACTTTGAAGGTGAGGCTAGGGACTCAGGGAAGTTAAGGGGCATGGTGAAGGTCACAAGGCTAGAGAATGACTTGGCTGACTTCTGATTTCCAGTCCAGAACTGTTTTCATTAATTACATCATGCTATACATGAGGGGTTGCTATGCTGATGAGCCTCTTGCAAATACTGGACTGTTTTAAAATAGCCTTGTTCATCATTCCAGCCTGGTTGGACAGGTATGGTGAGCTGATTTCCACTTCATGTGATAGGTGTAGGTAGCTATTTTAGGTTTTTACTCTAAGGAGGTAGAATGATGAGCCATCTGTTTTAGGCAGAGAGCAGCCTGAGAGTGGAATCCCAGTGTGTCTGATGTGTGCTGGAGCTGGAGAACTGTGGAATCAGAGCAGTAATAGGAAGGCATTCTTGGAGAGTATTTCAGAATTCAGATCTGAAGTGATGAGTCTCAATTAATGTGATGGCAGTGGAAATGAAGAGGAACACCTGCGTCCTGGAGATACCTGACAGAAGTCTTGGCCCTGGTGAAAGTTGTGCTCCTGGTCATTCCTTGCAGAACACATAGTAGCCCTCGTGTTCCAGAGAGGAGTGTTAATTCCAGGTGAATATCATGGTAAACCACTCTGAAGAGTTGAGTTTACTGTGTTCAGAGGTGCTGAGCTCGACTTTTGTGTATGTAAGTGGGTGTGTGTATGGTGTATCCTCCCGGTGACAGTGTGGCCAGCTGAGAGGCAGAGGTGGATGTTTGGCAAGAGGACTGGCATCTGTTCATAGCCTGTTTCCTGGTAATGAAGGATGAGCTGTAACCTTAGAGATAATTGGCAGGAGGTAAAATGGGAAAACCTAACATTTGAAGGGAAGGGATGTTTAGAAAAAGAGTGACAGGCCGGGCGCAGTGGCTGACGCCTATAATCCTAGCACTTTGGAAGGCCAAGGCAGGCAGATTGCTTGAGTTCAGGAGTTTGAGACCAGCCTGGTCAACATGGCGAAACCTTGTCTCTACTAAATATATAAAAATTAGCTGGGCGTGGTGGCTTAAGCCTGTAATCCCAGCTACTCAGGAAGCTAAGGCAGGAGAATCGCTTGAGCCCAGGAGACAGAGGTTGCAGTGAGCCGAGACTGCGGCATTGCACTGCAGCCTGGGTGACAGAGCGAGACTCCTTCTCAAAAAAAAAAAAAAAAAAAAGAGTGAGAATTTCAGAGCTGACGTATTGCCTTTTGTTCAAAGAATAAAATTCATCCTCTCTGCCTCTGTGGTTTCTGACTTTTGCCTGTTTTCTGTCCTCATTTTCTCCCATTCTCTGCCTTGCTCATCACATTCCAAATTTAAAATCCCCCCTCTGCCCTCAGTCTAGATATTCCCATGGCTGGCTACATTGTACAGCAATTGGATGTCACCTTTTTGGAGAGCTTTTCCTGACCATCCTCATTAATGTTCTCCCCATCCCTGCCTCCCCGAAAAACTAGGTTCTGTCCCAGACCACTTATACCAATCAGAGAAGACACTAGTCAGTTCTTGGTCTGCTTGTGCAATTCTGCCCTCCCTTCCCCAGTAGAATGAAAGCTCCTAAAGAGCCTGGGATCCTGTGTGTCTTGTTCATTGCTGTATTGCCAGCACCTAGGAGAGCACCTGGCACATATTTAGCATAAATATTGGTTGAATGGATTCTAGGTGAAGATTTGATGAGCGGGAGTAGAGGTGGGCGATGGGGAAAGAAACGGGTCTGTAGACCCCAGGCAACACAAGGTGACTAACCTGGACTGGGTGGTAGAGATGAGACAGGATAAATTCAAGAGACGTTCAGGAGGTAACACTGACAAAATTTGGTGATAAAATCTGGTGAATTAGGAGGTATCAGGCAACTTTCTTGTGAAAAATCCTGCTGTGAGAGGCTAGTAAACTCCTAGCATTCTTATTGGGTCTCTTCATTCACTGGAAATTTAAGGGCAAAACAATTCTTAGCCCTCCATCAAGAGCTTACCTCAGTTCTACTCCACCCTAGAGGAGGTGCCTCAAACTCTAGGCATGAAGAAGTCTCTCTGTTTCTACCCAGAGCAGTTGTACCCACCCATCCACCCATTTACCGCTCAACAGTATTTTTGAGCACGTAACGTTCTAGGTATTGTCGAAGGCACTGCTGCACAGGAATGACTAAAACAACCTCCTTGCATTTATGTCCTAGAGAGGGAAGACAGACAAGCGTGTCTACAAATGCTACATGCACAAGATACTTTTGGATGGTAATAATGGTATGGAGAAAAAACAGTGAGATAGGATGAGGTGGGGTCAGCCAGGCTGCTCCGCATTAGCTGAGATCTGGATAAGAAGGAGCCATGAGAAGACCTGAAGGAGAGCGGGGTTCTGGCATTGCCTTCAGAACCCTTTCCCGCTAGAGGAGTCGCTGAAGGGGCACTTTGCTTTCATGTTTTAAAGAATGAATTTGAAGAGGTTGGTGGGTTGGAAACTCAACTTTAAATACTTATCAAGTATATTTATTTATTTGTATTTTATTTATTTATTTTTTGAGACGGCATCTTGCTCTGTAGCCCAGGCTGGAATGCAGCAGCATGGTCTTGGCTCAGTGCCACCTCTTCTTTCCAGGTGCAAGCAAGTCTCCTGCCTCAGCCTCCTGAGTAGCTGGGATTATAGGAGTGCACCACCACACCCAGCTATTTTTTGTATTTGAGTAGAGACGGGGTTTTACCATGTTGGCGAGGCTGGTCTCAAACTCCTGACCTCAAATGATCCACCTGCCTTGACCTCCCAAAGTGCTGGGATTACAGGCCTCAGCCACTGCGCCTGGCCCATTTTATTTATTTTTGAGATGGAGTTTTGCTCTTGTTGCCCAGGCTGGAGTTCAGTGGTGCAATCTCAGCTCATTGCAACCTCTGGCTCCTGGGTTTAAGCGATTCTTCCGCCCCAGCCTCCTGAGTAGCTGGGATTACAGGCATGCAGCACTACGCCTGGCTGATTTTGTATTTTTAGTGGAGATGGGGTTTCACCATATTGGTCAGACTGGACTCGAACTTCTAATCTCAAGTGATCCACCTGCCTTGGCCTCCCAAAGGGCTGGGATTATAGGTGTGAGCCACTACGCCCAGCCCCATGTTATTTTTTTTGAGACAAGCTCTCACTCTGTTGCTCAGACTGGAGTACTGTGGCATGATCATGGCTCACTACAGCCACAGACTCGTGAACTCAAGTGATCCTCCCACCGCAATGCCTGTAGCTGGCTATTTTTAAAAACTTTTTTATAGAGATGAGTGCTCACTCTGTTTCCTAGGCTGGTCCTGAACTCTGGCCTCAAGCGTTCCTCCTGTCTCAGTTTCCTAAAGTGTTGGGGTTACAGGCATCAGCCAACCATGCCTGCTGTTTATTTCTTATCAGCATTTTTGTTTGCCAAATCATTCTACTGCTCATTTACTTTCTGAAGTCATTAAAAGTCATTAAACAAAACATTTTAGAGATGGCTTTAAGGAACAAAATTTCTGTTAATCATAAGTGATTAATAGATAATTTTCAAAAAAGGATAAAATCATGACATATAGATGCAAAAATGAACATGGTAAGTATTTTATTTAATCACTGATTATTAATTATAGAAGAGGACATTTGGCAGATGTTATAACAGGTTCAAAGGAGAAATTGTAACAAATTTCCGGGAAGTACTGTTGAAATTAATGTGCAAATTCAGGAAAACGAGCTTATTCCCGAGTTGGGGAGGGAAGTTAGTTGCACCTCTAGTGGCCAGAATAAAATTAACATGTCCATAGACAACAGTTGTTTTGCACTGCTGTTAGTTATCTACAATTGACAGAGTTGGAAGCTCCTGGAGAATCAGAATCTAATCCCCTGTGGAGGTTTCCTCTAGAGTCTCGATAGCGCATGGTTTTTCAATGAAGTACGTTTTTTTTCCCTGTGTATAACCGAACTAAAACAAAATAATCTCCTGCTCCTCCATGTACTAAAGTATGGAATTCCTACACTTATGGTCTTTGAAGTAATGGGGAAGGGAACTGTCATCTATGTAGCGCCTGTTATGAGCAGCGTTTGTCAGTTTACCTCATCCTCACAGCAGCCTCACGAAGTAGGTGTTGGGCTTCCCGTTTTACAGATAAGAAAATTTAGACTCAGGGATCTTATAGACAGTAAGTAGCAAAGTTAGAATTCCAGCCTGTCCTGTCTCAGAATTTATACACACACCCCACTAGGGTCAACATGCTGATGGTAAAAGCTATAGAAATTCTCTGTGTTTTGTTCTTGATCTTTAGTTCATCATCATCCAAGGTGGATCTCAAGAGTGGCCTCGAAGAATGTGCTGTGGCATTGAACTTATTTCTAAGTAACAAATTTACAGACGCCTTAGAATTGCTTCGCCCCTGGTAATTTACTTTGTGTCTTTTGGATAAAATATTTTTCAGATGTTTCTGATGATGGTTTGATGTCATGCTTGTAAATTAATTTATCTGTTTCCATTTGAATATTTATTAGCTAATTTAGTTGAGACCTCCTTACTTTACTTTTAATATTCAGTTTAGAAATCTGAGTTTTCAAATATAATTAGTAGAAAATTTCTGATTGTTTCACATATTTTAATCTCCTTGTTCAGATAGTGTTGTCTTGTGTAGTTTTATAAGGCTTCAATTTCGCTTTCTTCAGTGAAATATTTTTATGATTGTTCCTTTTAAGTATTATTGAAAAAATTTTCCTTTGAAATGGGGAGGGGAAGAACCAGAATATGCTGATCTCAATGCTAAAAATAGATGTAAGATGATAAGACTATTATTGAGGTTCTCTATTTGTTCGACAAATAACTTAAGCAGTTTTATTGTAGTTAGTAATACCTGTTAAGTTTTCAAATGTGGCACCAAAACCTGTGCTTGCCTGTTTTACTTGGCCTTGGTCTTGACAAGAATAATCTTACATGCCCTCAAACACTTTCTTAAATAAAGCTTAGACCTCATATACTGATTTTCTAGAAGATTACTCGGGCACAAAAGTGGGCAATCTTATTCCTTACTTGGAGTGGTCACCAGCGTGGCTGGACTCTGTCATTGGAATCTTAGATATGAATTGACCTGCTGAGGAGCTGCTATGGTAATTCTGTTAAGATTTAGAATAGCTGTAATCAAGATGGGCCAGCTATCATTTCACAGGTTAAGAACAAATGATGAAACCAATGGCGAAGCCCTGTAGTCTGAGGAAATTTTCTGGTGTGGTCTTCATCATCTGTCTCACAATCTCCACCTTGCCTGTCCCCTGCCTTTCTCCCTCTGTCCTTCTCAGTCCCTCAGATTTCTCTGTCTTCTGTCTCTACCTCCCTTTGTCTTCTCTGTCTGCTTGTCTTTCTCTCTGTCATCTCTCCTTCTGTCTCTTTTCTCAGCCTACCTGCCTGTCTTCTTTGGGTTTTTAATGTTTTTTTTTTTTTTTTGGAGACGGAGTTTCGCTCTTGTTACCCAGGCTGGAGTGCAATGGCGCGATCTCGGCTCACCGCAACCTCCGCCTCCTGGGTTCGAGCAATTCTCCTGCCTCAGCCTCCTGAGTAGCTGGGATTACAGGCACGCGCCACCATGGTGGCTCAAGCCTGTAATCCCAGCACTTTGGGAGGCCGAGGCGGGTGGATCACGAGGTCAAGAGATCGAGACCATCCTGGTCAACATGGTGAAACCCCGTCTCTACTAAAAATACAAAAAATTAGCTGGGCATGGTTTTTAATGTTTTTATTGATGAGTCATAGTTGTACCTATTTTGGGGGTACATGTGATAATTCGATACTTGTATACAATGTGCAATGATCAATCAGGGTAACCAGGTTATCTATCACCGCAAACATTTATCTTTTCTTAGTGTCAGGAACATTTATAATTATTCTCTTCTAGCTATTTTGAAATATACAATAAATTATTAGCTAATTTCTTTATTATTAAATACTAGAAGTTATTTCTTCTATTTAACTGTATTTTTGTACCCATTATCTTCTTTGATTTTTATTCAAACAAGTCTTTCTCTGCCACTGACACTCAGCTGGTCATAATATAGAATGAAAATAAATGATTTAGTGTTGTATTCAGTCAGGTTAGTCTCCGATTTTTGTACATGTTTCGCTGTTAAAATGGCTCATGCCTGTATTCCCAGCACTTTGGGAGGCCGAGGTGGGCAGATTACCTAAGGTTGAGAGTCTGAGATCCTGACCAACATGGAGAAATCCCATCTCTACTAAAAATACAAAATTAGCCTGGCATGGTGGCACATGCCTGTAATCCCAGCCACTCGGGAGGCTAAGAATCACTTGAATCCAGGAGGAGGAGGTTGCAGTGAGCCGAGATTGTGCCATTGCACTCCAGCCTGGGCAACAAGAGTGAAACTCCATCTCAAAAAAACCAAAACACCCAAAAACTTTTTCCTCACTTGAATCATTTTTTTGCTTCTTGAACGAGCTTTCAGTTAAAAATGTGAGGTTTGAAACCACAATTAATGATTAACTTTGGGCTGCCCTGATTCCTTGTGGTTCTTTTGAACAGATAAGGCCCTCAGTATTCAGGACAAGCTGCAAATTACCAAAGGATGTTTAGACTATTTCCATGGGGGCAAAGAATAATGTGGCTTTCATTTGTTTTGCGTGGCTTTCATTTGTTTTGTGTGGCAGCAGGCTATTATGCATTAATATTGAAATTAAAAACAAAACCATGCATTGCTATTTTAAACCTTATAAATAATGAATACAGCTTAAGAAGTTTTAGAAAATAAATGATGATGTTCTCGCAGCCAGAGAATCTGGCTGTCTGCCGTCCCTTAGGGCTAATTAACATCCTTAAGTATCCAGAAGCAGTTCTCACTGTAACTTGATGATTTGAAGTATCAAGAACTTGATCAGGAATCTCAGATAATGGGATTGGAGTTAGATACAAGGTCTGACATCTACTTTGGTCAGGGGCCTTGTGACCAGTCTAACTTATTCCAAAATCTTGTTTCCTCTTGGCCTTTGGCTGGACAGGAGAGGGATGATTTTAAATTAGCCTTTATTTTTGATAAAATGTATCGGAATCTCTCTGTCACAAAAATACATTTTCCAGCAGCCTTTATTTTAGCCCTCATTTCAGAGCCAAAGGTAATATGCTGCCCCTTTTCCAACAGAAAACGGTTTGTTTGGAATCTGCCTGCAGGCTGCCCTCTTGTGTTGAAATAGGGAAATGCATATTGTCCACTTCAACCTGGAACATTTTGTTCTGCCTGAGTAGGTTACATTGGAAAGTCCTTGGTGCTTGAGTTTTTTAGAGGTTTTCACTGCCCATATAATTTCAGTGATTATGGTGAAGGAATAACAGTTACTGTGCAAGTCAGGACATGTATTTACTAGAATTTCTTATGATCAGTATCAGATAAAACTTGTGGTGTTTTTCCATTGAATTAAAATGTCTGAATTCCCTGTGTTCTCCCCAGGGCTAAGGAGAGTATGTACCATGCCTTGGGCTACAGTACCATTGTGGTGTTGCAGGCTGTCCTGACCTTCGAGCAACAGGACATCCAAAACGGCATTTCTGCCATGAAGGACGCATTACAAACCTGCCAAAAGTATGATGAGTCATCAACTGCTTGAGATAGGACTGCAGACCTTTATGCCTGTGTGACAAAAATAATATCATTTGCCTGACCAAGAGCTCTGTGTTTGAAATTGGCCACAGTTACAGAAAAGGACTTCAGCCTCGGAGCTGAAGGATTCCTGTTTGGCATCTATATTATTCCACTTTTCTTTTTGGTAGCCTGGGGTCTGAGCTACAGAGCCCTGGGGTGGAGAGGGTGGAATTTCAGTGGGATTAGAAGCAAGCATCTCTCAAGATGGATGACATTAGGTATTACTGCATGCCAAACCAAGCCAAGCAAGGAGCATTCTTGTTTTAAGTGAGAGATGCGAATTCATGAGGGGATGTTTTATATATGTTTAAGAAGAACCTCTTTTTGAACACTTCCGTTTGGTGAAAATGAGATAGATTTTTAGTTTTATTTTAAGCTTTACTCTGTGTGTACAGGAAGACCCTATCAAAAATTTTTTTCAAGGTGAAAGTAATTTTGATATTAAAAAAAAAAACGATAAATGTTTCACAGTATAGAAGATACTTGGTTTGTGGACATTTAGAAATATTCAGGAATCCAGGAATGGCCGGCTGGGGCACCCTGATCAGGTGGATGGGAGGAAATGGCCCCGCTTGCTATCAGTTGCTTGATGTGCCCCCTGGGACTGGGGCAGAAGGTTCATGATCAGAAGGTTAACATGGGTGAAATTACATCCTGATGTAATTGTGTCGTAAGCTCCCCAAATGAAGAGAGCTTCCAAATATTGCACTTTAACCTGTGGAGAATTTTGCCACTAATCCTGATTTTAGTTACAGGGATAAGGGAAGGTACTTTGTAGGTTAGTTTTCACTGGCATGTGTGGCTAGCCAGTGCTGAGTGGAGAGTGCTGGAAAAAGATGGTCTATGTCCTACAGACTGCAGGGTTTAGGGTTTCCGCTTTCTGACTCTCTGGTGTGATAGTGACTGAAGTGAATGTTACATGAAAATGAGCTCAGCCTGATTTTTTTTTTCCATTTTCTATCTCTCTTTCTGTTTATTCAATGTAGATACAGGAAAAAATACACAGTTGTAGACACTTTCTCAAGTCTTCTTTCTAGAGGATCACTGGAGCAACTGAGTGAAGGTAAGAGTCATTTAAAAGATCACTTTTTCCCTTGATTTTAAAAATTAAAAAATGATTATCTCATAGAATTCCATACTGAAGCGTATAAAGTAAATGGAATGTCTTGTTCTCTTCCTTATCATCCTCACCCTCCAGAAGTACAGTGTTAATAGTTCATTTTGAAGCCTTGCAGACTTCTCTGTGTACATACTCAAATACATAAATAAGGTACATGTAGGGTTTTGGTTGTTGCTCATGGCTTGTTTTTGCTTTTTGCAAGCATAGAATCACATAATAGGTGTTGACTTACAGTGCAAATTTGACACTGACATTTTCTCAGGTCATTACGTATGTGTGTTTAACAGCTGTGTGGTATTCCATAGGATTGGTGTACTGTACTTTACTTGGATTTTCTCTTTTGTTTTTATTTTTTCACTGTTGTAAATAATGCTGTCCTAGAATCCTTTTGCATCTTAAAAAGCATTTCATAAGATAGATTCCTAAAAGTGGAATTACCAGGACTGACAGTTTGAAAATTTGCAATATTTATAGGTATTGCCACTTTTTTTTTCTCCAAAGATATAGGACAGTTTATATATTCTTACATTCATCTTTGAGAATCAGCTTTCCACAAGCTATTATAACTTTTTTCAAGGTGAAAATAATTTTGATATCTTTTTAAAAAAGATAATGTTTCACAGTATAGGAAACGTTTGGTTTGTGGACATTTAGGGAATATTCGAGAGTCCAGGAATGGCCGGCTTCAGCACCCTGATCAGATGGATAGGAGGAAATGACCACTGTTGTTGTCAATTGCTTGTTATGCGCCCAGGGACTAGGGCAGAAGGTTCAAGATTACCTCTGTCTTTTTAGTGTGACACTCTAGTCAGAATAGTTGGAAAGAAAGGAACATCTAGATATTCCTGTAGAAGAAAAAAAAATGTCCTTCAAATGTGACCATTGTAGAATAAAGTTTTTGCCATCCCAGGGGAATCCATGCCTGCATTGTCATTGTCAAACATGTTCTCTGAAGAGGTAACAAAATACTAGAAGTAGCTTTGGCTGATGAGAGCAAGAGCAATTTTGGGTACTGCTGTCAGAGTTGTTTCTAATTGCCAAGCGTGTGGCAGACACATTTTTTAGTGTGTTTTATTAGGAAGTTTTGTTTATTTTGTTAGATGGGTATTATCAAAGTGTTACGGACATCGGAGAACTTGGGTAGATTTGCACGATGTGATGCTAGAGTATTGATTATAGGAGGGGAATTATGAGACAAATCACATCTTTGGGACTTGTTTCAAAGGGGCATGATGTTGACCTCAAAACCGCAGTCAAACAGAATGGCATTTCATTGGTCACTCTAGGCAGCCGAAACCCATAAGCTTTTTCTCCAGAAACTGACCTCCAACTATTTATAAGAATTCCTGGCCGGGCGCGGTGGCTCATGCCTGTAATCCCAGCACTTTGGGAGGCCGAGGCGGGTGGATCATGAAGTCAAGAGATAGAGACCATCCTGGTCAACATGGTGAAACCCCGTCTCTACTAAAAATACAAAATATCAGCTGGGCATGGTGGCGCGTGCCTGTAATCCCAGCTACTCAGGAGGCTGAGGCAGGAGAATTGCCTGGACCCAGGAGGCGGAGGCTGCGGTGAGCCGAGATCGCACCATTACACTCCAGCCTGGGTAACATGGCCCAAACCCCGTCTCAAAAAAAAAAAAAAAAAAAAAAAGAATTCGTTTATCCCCTTGACTTCGAATAGAATATGTCTACGTATTTTACATCTTTGGTCCACTTATGTAAATTGGCTCCATTAGACCTAACGTTCACTAAAGTGGGTTAATGAGAAATCAAATAGGCCCAAAAGAAATTGAACCGTTTTGCTGTATTCTCCTTTCTGTTACCCTCCCTCTGGCTTCCCTCCAGTGGGAAGCCTCTTATAGTATGAAGGCAGATATTTGAGATTGTTTTTACCTGAGTTTTGGCATGAGTGGCATGGTATTTTTTGTATGAGTATAAATAATAATAATTTGAAAAATAAGATGATAATGCTCCATTTTAAAAAAGTACCCTGTATGTGCCATATACTGCCCTTGGTGCTTTTCTTAACATTATCTAATCTAACCTCCTCTTTACAGACTAGGAACTGATTGGATATGTAAGCAAATGGTCAGAGTTCCCCACCCAGCAAAGTAGGGTTAACTGATCATCTGCCCTTCCCTAAGCCACCACTCTTTCCACTGTCACCCACACTTTCTCCTGTAGGCGAGTAGAGAAGGGCACAAAATGTGTCATATATGGATGAAGGAAATATTTAATTATTTCTATGTTAGTCATCTTGAAAATAGATGATACTGTGTTGTTGTGTTTTTATAATGTCTTTGAACAATGGCAGTTTAGGAAATATGGAATACAGTAGAAAATTACTTTTTACTAATTATAAAAAATAGGCTGGGCATGGTGACTTGTGCCTGTAATCACAGCTACTTGGGAGGCTGAGGTGGGAAGATCCCTTGAGCCCAGGAGGTGGAGTGTATTAGTCTGTTTTCATACTGCTATAAAGAATTGCCCAGGACTGGGTAATTTATAAAGGAAAGAGGTTTAATTGACTTACAGTTCTGCATGGCTGGGGAGACCTCAGGAAACTTAAAATCATGCCAGAAGGCAAAGAGGAAGCAAGGCACCCTCTTTACAAGGTGGCAGGAGGAGAAATGCGTGTAGGAGGAACTGTCAGGCACATAAAACCATCAGATCTTGTGAGAACTCACTGGTTTTCACAAGAACAGCATGGGAGAAATCACCCCGTGATCCAGTCGTCTTGCACCAGGTCCCACCCTTGACACGTGGAGATGGTGGGGATTACAATTCAAGGTGAGATTTCGGTGGGGACACAAAGCCTAACCATATCACAGAAGTTGCAGTAAGCTGAGATCATGCCCCTATGCTCCACCCTGGGTGACAGAGCAAGACCCTGTCTCTACATAAATAAAAATAAAATAAACTGGCTTATGACTATAGCCTATTCTGAAATACAGGTTTATTTAGATTTTCATTTCTAAAGGCTGTGCTTAGCTAACGTTATTTCAGTGCATGATGAAGATATTTACTCCTGTGGACTAAGGAATTTATAATTAAGAGATATTCCTGGTAGTTACCTACTTATAAGTGCCTAATGGCTAATTTTGAGAACTAAAGAACTATGCAATGTAAATCAGCCACAGTGAAAGAATAAGACTTTTATAAATTAAGCTGTATTTTATTCTTAGTGAGTTTGGCTGTCAACTGCAACCCAAACAGACTTTGTGTTCAAGGGAGCATGTCAAAACATTGTAGCTTTAGTGTGTGATTTGTTTTTCCTCTTGGTAATTTTCATTTACATCCTTGAGTGTCTGGTTGTCTACAGGAGTGAGTATATTTCATTAAACTTTTCATGGGTTTAGCGTGGAACATACTAGTTCTTTTCTCTTGCGGCTGGCGGATTGCCCCAAATGGGTTTCAAATTGCCTTTACAAACAGATATTTAAGTGCAGTGAGTACATAGCATGTGAAAGGGATTTAATATGAAGGGTGCTTATTTGCGGAATACAAAGTTCAAACCCTCCTGCCTTTTCTGTCTGCCTTCTTGTCACATCCCTTTTGCGACTCTTAGATTTGTTCATCTTTCACTTAACCCTGATCTGCCCACCTGTCTGCTCAGATCACTGTAAGAACTGACTCACTGTTGCCTCCTGATGAAGTGCAGACTCTAACATTCAAGGCCGTTTATAATTGAGCCTCGACTTACCCTTCCAGCCTCATTGCCCTCTGCTCCCTTGACTGGCTTTTTCTGAAGGTGTTCTGGGCTTTCCTTGCTTCTGTTACTGACACACTCCCCTCCACTGCCCCTTCCACTAACCCTCTCCCCCCCGACCCCCCCCTCGCCATCACTACCATGGACTTCATCCCCTCTGCATGTACCCCAAGCCAGCAGTCTGCATTCCTGAGCAGACTTTCAGAGCTAATAATTCCTGATTCTCACGCTGTTACAAAATTACCTAGGAAGAGGATATTCAGGTGACTGTGTAAAAGTAAGTTACCGGTTGGTATCCCACTGAACACAGCTAGAAAATCAATGGGCGCACTTTGAGGAGAGGTATTCTGAAGGTGACTGTGGATGCTGCCGGAATGTGCAGGCTGTAACTCCTCAAGTTTGGCCTGTCCTGGGTTTGGCCCCGTCTCTTTGTGTGCTGTTGAAGACCTTAGCTGCAGAGGTGCCTCTTTGTAAATTAAACATTTAGAATATGAGCATGGCAGGAACTTGAACCAATTTGTGAGAACCAGGGGGTTGTATGTGTGTAGGGTGGGGGTGGGATCTGTGTGAGTGAGTGAGTTCAGTCACGTTCCACATAAGAATGCTTTCTGCTTTCTGAGCTTTTACCAAAGAGCAGTGGTATGGATCAGGGACAGTGATCTCAGTGCATGCAGCTGGCATTGATCCAGTGCTTACTCCGTATCGTGAGCTCTACATGCAGTGCCTCATCTGACCCTTCAGCTATGAACTAGAGGTGGTATTAGTGGCTTTCATAAATGTGGAAACCAGCAGAGAGGGGACGAGGTCCTATAGCCAGTACATGGCAGAGCCTTTTTAGCAGCCCAGGCTATTTGCTTATACTCCAGGCTCATTTGCTTAAATATCATGCCAATTTGCATCCCGTGGACAGAGCAAGAATCTGCTGACTTGTTTATGGAAATAAGGAAAGATTTGTCTCTCCATTCTCCGCAAGTATGGTGGATTGTTGGGAAGCTAGGGTGTGTGTTTTGGGGTACTCCACAGGTCCCTAGGATGCACAGAGCTTCACCTAGCCCCTTTTTGTGAGTACCTCGTTTTTGTGCTAGACATCTACATGATCAAAGTAGCCCCAAACTGGGATAGTGCTACCTCTTTTGATATCAGGCCTTCATGTGTGGGGAGTCTTAACTTGGGCAGGCAGGGCATTTCTTCTTCGCAGAACTCTAGAGAATTCCTGCTGTCTTTTCAGGTAGCTAATGTGTATGGTTAGTGTCATGGTTACCAAACCTTCATATTTTAGAAGCTAGCATTCATAATTTAGTTTGTTTTTCAATTTTTTTTTTTTAAGACAGAGTCTCACACTGTCACCTGGGCTGGAGTACAGTGGCACGATCTTGGCTCACTGCAGCCTCCGCCTCTTGGGTTCAAGGGATTCTCCTGCCTCAGCCTGCTGGCACGCACCACCATGCCTGGTTAATTTTTGTATTTTTGGTAGAGACAGGGTTTCACCATGTTGGCCAAGATGGTCTCGATCTCTTGACCTCGTGATCCGCCTGCCTCAGCTTCCCAAAGTGCTGGGATTGCAGGAGTGAGCCACTGTGCCTGGCCAGTTTTTAAAAAAATTTAAAACCATGTTAAAGTTTTATGTTACTATTAATTTAAACAATAAGTGGTTTCCTATTTGAATAAAGTGCTTTTAAATGTTCATTTCCTCTTGTGAGCTGAGTTTGGGTCTCTGACACCAAGTGACTGTGTCTTTGCAGTTATGTTTAAATGGGGATGACTTCCCTGAACATTTCACACATTCCAGGAAAATCTTGCTGACAAGTGAAAACTGGGATCATCATTCCACTTTTATGGATGCACAAGGATGATCTAAGTTTTGGGGTCTCTCTTGGGTTCATTTATCTGCCAGTCTTTCCTGAACATCATAGAGCAATCACTTTGGATGTGGGATTTTACTTAATATAACTTTATTTGTTTTTAATAGAGGAAATGCATGCTGAAATCTGTTATGCCGAGTGTCTCCTACAGAAAGCAGCACTCACCTTTGTGCAGGTAATGAATATTTGGCTTGGAGTTCATATTGGCTGGGAAGACTGCCAGTGCTGCATAGAAAAATGTGGCGCATTCTGTGTCCAAGCTTCAGTTCCTTTGACTCAGAGTTGTAAAGAAAAATATTGTTATTCTGGTAAGCTTTGGCTGAAGAAAGATGCTAGAGAGCTTTGTTCTCCCTCTACTGCACTTAAGAATCTATTTCAAATCACTACACTGGGAATCATTGCCCTTTAAAGACTGTGTCTTTAAAGAAAGTTTAGGCTGAGCGTGGTGGTGGCTCATGCCTTTAACCCAGCACTTTGGGAGGCTGAGGCAGGAGGGTGACCTGAGGTCAGGAGTTTGAGACCAGCCTGGCCAATATAATAAAACCCCATCTCTACTAAAAATTAAAAAAAAATAAGTAAAATTAGCCAGGCATGGTGGTGCATGCCTGTGATCCCAGCTACTCAGGAGGCTGAGGCAGGAAAATCACTTGAACCTGGGAGGCAGAGATTGCAGTGAGCTGAGATTGCACCACTGCCCTCCAGCTTGGGTGACAGAGCAAGACTCCGTCTCAAAAAGAAACTTTAAAGAAATTGCTTTGCCACTGACACACCTAATTTCAAGATGCATCTGTGTGAAAATGGAGAATATTCCCCTTTGCAGTTTCTGCTGGGAGAGGCTGCACCTGGGAGTGGCCTGGGCAGAGGAAATGTCCCCTCTTACACCACATGCCTCAGTCAAGTTCAGTTGTGCATGCATAGAAAGTTAATGTATACTTCAAATTTTATTTTTCCCCTTCTTTCTATTTTCATTCTCCTTTCTTTTATTTCTTCCTTTGGAAGAGCGGTTTTAAAAAGTCACTAAACAATTAATCCTTTTCTTATGAGACATTTTAATTGCACCTCTGGGAACTGGTTCAGTCAGTACTATGCCTATTTCTGTACCTTCCAATGGTTCTGTAAAACATACATTTTCACATTATGACCTCATGGGTGATAGTGATGGCTACAGTGAGGGTGAAGTGGGGTAGAGAATGTAAGAAATCAGAAACAAATTCAACTGTAAAATGGAAAATCTTCCTCAATCACAATTGTCTTTTTTTTGAGATGGAACCTCACTCTCTCCCCTAGTCTGGAGTCCAGTGGCGTGATCTTGGCTCACTGCAACATCCGCCTACCAGGTTCAAGAGATTCTTCTGTCTCAGCCTCCCAAGTAGCTGGGATTATAGGCGTGGGCCACCATGCCCGGCTAATTTTTGTATTTTCAGTAGAGACAGGGTTTCACCATATTAGGCAGGCTGTTCTCAAAACTCCCAACCTCAGGTTCCACCAGCCTCAGCTTCCCAAAGTGCTGGGATTATAGGTGTGGGCCACTGCACCCGGCCAGTTATTTGACAGTTGCTTCTTTCTTTTCCTGGAGCTTTACCTCTTAGGTTGGATTCTGGTTTAGTAGAACTGAATCAGTGTAGCCCATGACCCTGTTTTCTAAAGCCCACACCTTACAAAGGCTGGTTGATAGCAGCAGTCTTACTGCCTCGGTAAGCATCATAATGATAATCATGGAGGCCCAAGTTTTTTTGTTTTCCAAACCGGGATTTGGCAATCAAATCTGGGATTTGAAGGCTTATTTTATATTTGGGGACTTGAAATTAAAGAGATATCCATGATTGTCCCCTCTTCCTCATGCCTCCCACCCAATCATTTTTATATTCACGCTGCTTTAGCCTTTTAAAGATTGTGCAGCTCCATCTCTTCCTATCATTGTTCTAGTAGAGGTGCTCATCTACTCTTCGCTTGCCTGCCAGCAACCTAGTGAATCTCCCTTTCTAATTTCTTTTGCCTGCAGCTCATTCCCTATTCTGCAGGTGAGGGTTGAGTACCCTCTTAAAAAGGAAACTCTGACCTGGTCACTTCTCTGCTTCAGCATTCAGTAGCTCTGATTGACTATGGCAGTATTCCGTATCAGAATATCACAAATAAGAGAGGTACTTTTTCAAACAAAACTGGTACCTCCTCTCCATATTCCCTACCTCTCTACCTTACAGGTGTCCTTGGATGCCACTGACGGGGTTGCATTCTTGAGTAGCATGGGTGGAGATAGCTGTCTTAACTCCTTGGTGGTTCTCTTTGCAATAGATTCTTCAGCAGTGCGGAATTGCATATGCACACATGGCCAAACCCATCATGATCCTTAATAGCACCCTGTCTTTCCACTTGAGTTTTACTTTGCTTACAAAGCTCATGTCTGCTTTGCCTTTCTACACCTGGCCAGTTTCTAATTATTTTTGTGTTTAAAGCACCAATGCTTCCAGGAGACATTTCTGGCTCTCTCCATGCCACTACTTTGTGTTCTCATGACGTCCTATGTGTGACCCCACCCCTGTGCATGACCCTGCCCCTGTGCATGACTCAGTCCCTGTGTGTGACCCTGCCCCTGTGCATGATCCCACCCCTGTGCATGACTCAGTCCCTGTGCGTGACTCAGTCCCTGTGTGTGACCGCGCCCCTGTGCATGAAGCCCTTCTTTAACATATTGTATTACTTTCGTCTGTTTTTGCATTTGGGTGCCTGGTATAAAATAGGCATTAAGTTTACGTTTGATGAATGCTGAAATATGTATTTTTTTTTTGAGGCATATTTTAAGCTAATTTAAGAAATTCTTTTCTGATTGGTATTGGATCTTATGTAATCATAAGATTCTTTAAATTAAGAAGATAAACATTGAATTTTATATCTATTGATTCTTATAATAATTGGAACATTGCATATTTAAGTAATTAATGAAATTAGTAAACTAAATTCAGCTTTTCTTTTGCTACGGAAGGATGCTTAAGTACATGAGAAATACATATCAGAGCATCTTTCTGATCTCAATAGACTAGAAAAACTTTCTCTCTGGAAATGCAAACATAGGATTGTCTTCACTAGTACCATTTATTAGAGTAACTTCCTTCAAGTGGTTATTTGATGTAATTTATTGAGAAATTGTCTTAGAATCCTAGAATGCTGACCCTGAAAATGCCATTCATCAAGGACAGCTGCCTCGATTTTATGGTCCATGACCATCAGATAAAGAGAGCTGAAGTGGTTTTCTTTCCCTAAAGCAAAATTGCATAGTAGTGACAGCCACTTCAGAAGCCAGACCAGTTATTTTGGGCCTGGAAATGTGTATGAGTAAAATTCACAGCATTAAATAGACTCTGCTAAAGTACTGTGTGAAAGAAGAACCATTGTTCTATTTACTGGGTATGATATACTAGAAGGGTTGGCCTTAGAGCAGATTTTTAAAGTCATCCATTCTGGATTCTATTAAACCCCGAAGAAAATTACTCAGTAGATGTCAATGTTTATTAAAATAATTTGGACCACATATGGCCCCAATTGGTGAGGATTACCTCCTTAGTAATATAAAATAATCAAAGGGTTTTATGAATATTTTCTTTTTGTTGTCCTCTAACATGGAAGAAAAATTACCCCAAAACCTTTTAAATGTAAGGCAAGAGTATGTGTTAATTTCAAAATTATGTTATCAAAGTACTTTTTTTCTAGTCACACAAACACGTAACTGTGGGGACAATTTAAAATTTTTTGCTAAATAATCTAATTTTTTAACTGAATTATTTTTAGGATGAAAATATGATCAACTTCATCAAAGGCGGACTCAAAATTAGAACAAGTTACCAAATATATAAGTAAGTCAAAAAGTAAGATGTGGTTTTTAAATAATTTGGTGCTGTATACTCCTTTGTTCTTCACAATTCTCATAAATTAAGTTTGACTAGGATTTTTTATTTGGTGTTGGTAAAAATGAACTTGATTTTTTGCTGAGTGTGTATTCAGTGTTACAGGACAACAGAATTTAAGTTTAAATACAATTGTAAGAGCAAATTAGCTGAAAATAAAGCTACTGACATGATTTCTGATTAAATAATTTTAGTTTCTCTCTCCTTAGTACAATTTATAAATTTAAAATTACAGTAATATCTTTGATTCAGAGTCCAGAACAGCACTACCCAGTAGAATTTTCTGCAGTGGATGGAAATGCTCAACTGATATGGCCACAGTGTTCTTCATATCCTTATTAATTTTTTTTTTTTTTTTTTTTGAGACGGAGTCTCAGCATTGTTGCCCAGGCTGGAATGCAATGGTGTGATCTCGGCTCACTGCAACCTACGTTTCCTGGGTTTACACGATTCTCCTGCCTCAGCCTCCCGCGTACCTGAGATTACAGGTGCACACTATCACACCTGGCTAATTTTTTGTATTTTTAGTAGAGATGGGGTTTCACTATGTTGGCCAGACTGGTCTTGAACTCCTGACCTCATGATCTGCCTGCCTCAGCTTCCTAAATTTCTGGGATTACAGGTGTGAGTCACCTTGCCCAGTCCCTTATTGATTTTTATCTAGTTGTCTGTTACTTATTCAGAGTGTTCAAGTCTCCAAGTTTGAATCTGGAGTCATGCCTTTCTTCCTTTAGTTCTGTCAGTGTTTGCCTCATATATTTAGGAGCTGTGTTGTTAGGCTCATATCATATATATTTATAATTGTTCTGTCTTCCCAATGAATTAACCTTTTTATCATCTTGAAATGTCTCTGTTTAACTCTGGTAATATTCCTTGTCTTGAAATCTATTTTGTCTGGTATTCATATAAGCCCTCATGCTTTTTATCATCAGTCTTTGCATGGTGTGTGTTCTTTTACTTTAAACCTATCTTTGTTTTCATATTTAAATTGTATTTCCTGTAGATGCACATAGTTGGACAATTGATATGTTTGTACTTGTGACTACCATTTTGCTTTTTCTCTTCGCCTTATCTGTTGCCTCCCCCTTTTTTCCTATCTTCTTTTGCTTTCATAACATTTGAAAACTGTTGTTCTCTTAGCTGTACTCTCTGATTTTTTTGGGTTGCTCTAGTGTTTATAATATTCCTTTTAACTTATTACAGTCAACTTAGAGTTAATATTGTAGCACTGGACATAAATTGTAAACACTTTGCAAAAGTATTGTTTCATTTACCACGTTTTGTCCTTTATGCTATTTTTATGATGTATAGCACACTTACATATGCTATAAACCCTACAATACAGTGTCAGACTTTTCCTTTAATCAGTTAGATGTTGTCATCTTCTCTCTCTTTATTCACATTCTTACCATTTTTGGTATTCTTATTCAAAATGGTAAATATATTTCCTGTTTACTTTCAGACTGAAGAACTTCCTTCAGCATTTCTTATAGCATGTCAGTTTTCAACACATTCTGTTTCGTTTATCTGAAAATATATTTACTTTTTACTTTTTCTTTTCAAGTTTATTTTTGCTAACTGCAGCATTCTGAGTCGATGGGTTTTCTCCTTCTTTCAGCCCTTTAAAACTGCCTTCCTTTTGTATTAAGTCCTCTGTTATTCATGATTAGAAGTCAGTTTTCATTTGTATTATTGTTCTCCTATATATAATGTGTCTTTTCTTCTGGCTTCTTTGAAGACTGACTAGTTTACATCTTTGGGTGTCAGCAGTTTGACTATGATGTGCCTAAGTGTGATTTTGAGAAATTCGTGGTTGTAATTTTTCAAACTTTTTTTCTGCCCCTTTCTTACTTTCTTCTCTCCTGAGACTTCCCCCTTCATTTATAAACTATGTAAAAATATATTTTAAATGTGTATTTTATATTTTTCCAGAATTTATAAGTTATTTGTGGGAAAGTTAATCTGACATAAGCGCTACCCTGCTGTTACTGGTAGCAGAACCAAAATTTAGTATTTTAAGAGGTACTTTCACTGAAAATCCTTTCACAAAATTGTGTTTCATTCAAAATCCTGGAAGTGGGTGGTAGATTTGGGGTACCTGACATGCTGTTTACAGATTTCTTTGTGAAATATTTTTGGAAGATATAAACAAATGTAAATTCAATGTTAATTGCTGTTTTAGTCATCAAAACTTAAAAATACTAAAGGAATTAAAACAGGCCTGTAGAGGCAAAGATATACAGGTATACCTCAGAGATAGTGTGGGTTCCAGACCACTAACCACTACAATAAAGTGAATATTGCAATAAAGTGAGTCACACAAAGTTTTTGGTTTCCTAGTGCACATAAAAGTTACATTGCTACTGTCTTGTATTCTATTAAGTCTGCCAATACCATTATATATAAAAAATATGCATACCTTAATTGAAAAATACTGTTTTGCTAAAAAAAATACTAACAATTATGTAAGCCTTCAGCAAGTCATAATCTTTTTGTTGGTAGAGGTCTTACCTCCTTGTTGATGGCTACTGACATTCAGGGTAGTGGTTGCTGAAGGTTGGGGTGGCTTTGGCAATTTTTTAAAAAAGGACAATGATGAAGTTTGCCATACCTATTGACTCTTCCTTTCATAAAAGATTTTTTTGTAGCATGCAATACTGCTTGATGGCATTTTACCCACAGGAGAATGTCTTTCATACTTAGAGTCCATGCTCTTAAATCTTGCTGCTGCTTTATCAACTAAGTTTATCTAATATTCCAAATCCTTTGTTGTCATTTCAACAATGTTTATGGCATCTTTACCAGGTGTAGATTTCATCTCAAGAAACGACTTTCTTGCTCATCCATAAGAGGGAATTCCACATCCATTTAAAGTTTTATCATGAGATTATAGCAGTCCATCACATCTTCAGGCTCCACTTCTAATTCTAGTTCTTTTGCTGTTCCTAACACCTCTGAAGTTACTTTCTCCACCAAAGTTGAACCTCTCAAAATGATCCGTGAGGGTTGAAATCAACTTCCAAACTCCTGTTAATGTGGACATTTTGATCTTCTTCCATGAATCACGAATGTTCTCCATGACATCTAGAATGATGAATCCTTTCCAGAAGGTTTTCAATTTCCTTTCCCTGGATCCATCAGAGGAATCACCATGGCAGCAATAGCCTTATAAAATATTCTAGTTAAATAAGACATGGAAGTCAGAGTTACTCCTTGATCCCTGGGCTGCAGAATGGATGTTGTGTTAGCAAGTGTGAAAACAATGTAATCCTCTCATACATCTCCTTCAGATCCCCTGGGTTACTAGACACAATATTAGTCAGCAATAAGACTTGGAAATCAATCTTTTTTTTCTGAGCAGTGGATTTCGACAGTAGGCTTAAAGTATTCAGTAAACCGTGCTGTAAACTGGTGTGCTATCATCAGGATCTGTTGTTTTAGTTATGGAACACAGGCAGAGTAGATTTAGCACAATTGTTAAGGGCCTTAGGATATTTGGAATGATAAATGAACATTGACTTCTATTGAGAGTCACCAGTTCCATTAGCCCCTCATAAGAGTCACCCTGACCTTTGATGTTTTGAAGCCAGGCTTTGACTTCTCCCTAGATATGAAAGTTCTTGATAGCATCTTCTTCTAGTAGAAGGCCATTTTGTCTGCATTGAAAATTTGTTGTTTAGTGCAGCCACCTTCATCAGTGATCTTAGCTAGACACTCTGGATGACTTGCTGCAACTTCCACATAAGCACTTGCTGCTTCACTTTGCACTTTTTTTTTGTTGTTGTTGCGGGGAGGGAGATTGAGTCTTGCTCTGTCTCCAAGGCTGGAGTGCCGTGGCACAATCTCAGCACACTACAACCTCTGCCTCCTGGGTTCAAGCGATTCTCCTGCCTCAGCCTCCGAAGTAGCAGGTACTCCAGGTACGCGCCACTATGCCCAGCTAATTTTTTTGTATTTTTAGTAGAGACGGGGTTTCACCATGCTTGGTCCAGGCTGGTCTCCATCTCCTGACCTTGTGATCTACCTGCCTCAGCCTCCCAAAGTGCTAGGATTACAGGTGTGAGCCTCTGTGTAGTTTTATTTTATAGAGATGGTGTCTTTCCTTAAATTCATGAACCAACCTCTATTCGCTGCCAACTTTTTTTTCTTCAGCTTCCTCACCTCTCTCAGCCATTATAGAGTTGAAGAGTTAGGGCCTTGTTCTGGATTAGGCTTTGGCTTAATGGAGTGTTGTGGGTGGTTTGTTCTATCCAGACCACTCCAGCTTTCTCCATATCAGCAGTAGGGCTGTTTTGTTTTCTTACCATTTGTGCCTTCACCGAAATAGCACTTTTAATTTTTTTCAAGAACTTTTCTTTTGCACTTACAAGTTGACTGTTTGAAACAAGAGGCCTAGCTTTCAGCCTCTCTTGGCTTTTGACATGCCTTCCTCACTAAGCTTAATTATTTCTAGTTTTTGATTTCAGGTGAGAGAGGTGCAACTCTTCCTTTCACTTGAACACTTAGAGGCCACAGTAGGGTTACCAGTTGGCCTAATTTCAATATTGTTTTGTCTCAGGAGTTAGGGAGGCCTGCGGAGGAGAGAGATGGGGGAATAGCCGGTCGGTCAGTAGAGCCGTCAGAACACACACAACATTTATTCATAACTTTCGCTGTCTTTCATGGGTGCGGTTCATGGCACTCTGAAACAATTACAGTAGTAGTATCATTAAAGATCTCCCATCACAGAGCCGAGATCGCGCCATTGCACTCCAGCCTGGGTAACAAGAGCGAAACTCCGTCTCAAAAAAAAAAAAAAAAAAAACAGATACAATAATAATGAAAAATTTGGAAATTTTCTGAGAAATACTGAAATGTGACGTTGAAACACAGAGTGAGCACATATTGTTGGAAAAATGGCATCAATAGACTTGCTCAAACAGAGTTGCCACAAATCTTCAATTTGTAAAAAATGCAGTGCCTGCGACGTGCATTACAGAGAAGGACAATAAAACAAAGTATGCCTTTACATATCAGTGAAGTGGATTTCAGGGTTTTAAAAGAGACAGTATATGTGTGTGTGTGTACGCACATGGATTTACAAATGTACACGCACACACGCGCACACACATTTACCTGGGAATTCAAAATATACTAAATTCCTTTATATAGATAGGCCCTTCAAAACAGTGAAGAAAGATAGATACTTCAGTAAATGTTTTTGGGAAAATTGTTCATTTTTGGGGAAAAATCATTAAGATGAAAAAATTGCATATAGGTTTAATATTAAAATATTTAAAAAGAATTCTAGCAGGAAACATAAAGTATTTTTATAATTCTTAAATATAAAGGCTTTAAATTTTTTTATTTTTTTCACTTTGAAATAATTTGAAAATTATTACAAAAAATTTCCGTATAGCCTGCACTCAGATTGCCAAACATTAATATTCTGTGGCAGCACAGTAAAATTCCTAAAATCAGGATGCTGACATGGACACAGTGTTAACATTTACTCACGGTCGTTACTCACATTTCTCTAGTTGTCTCATCAATGCCCTTTTTCTGGCTCAGGATCCGACCCAGGATCCTGGATGTTGTGTTTAGTTGTGTTTCCTTAGTCTCTTTTAATCTGGAATCGTTTCTCAGTTTTTGTCTTTAATGATGTTGACATTTTAAAAGAATAAACTGGCCAGTTATTTAATAGAACATCTATCAATACAGACTTTTCTGGTGTTTCTTCATGATTAAATTCAGAATATGAATCTATGGCAAAAATACCATATAAATGATATCATTAGGTACATGATGTCAGTTTCAAAGGCCTTTTAACCGTGGCATAAAATCAGAAATCAGAAGAAATTGATTGACCTGACCAAATAAACATTCATCATTTTATCTTGGCAAAATACACCATAGTAAAAAGTACAAATGGAAATGGGATCTAAATGACTCAGGGGAAATGACAGCAGGGATGCTCGTAGGCTGGTAGACATCTGAATTGACTCTCTAAACCCTTACTTTTTTAATTTTTTGAGATGGAGTTTGGCTCTTGTTGCCCAGGCTGGAGTGCAATGGTGCGATCTCGGCTCACTGCAACCTCCGCCTCCTGGCTTCAAGTGATTCTCCTGCCTCAGTCTTCCAAGTAGCTGGGATTACAGGCATGCGCCACTACACCCAGCTAATTTTGTATTTTTAGTAGAGATGGGGTTTCTCCATGTTGGTCAGGCTGGTCTCGAACTCCTGATCTCAGGTGATCCACCCGCCTCAGCCTTCCAAAGTGCTGGGATTACAGGCATGAGCCACCATGCCCAACATTAAACCCTTGCATTTTTTTGTAAACTGGAAGTTAGGTTTATGGGCTTGCTAGATTTAGATTAAAAATATTTGGCTAGACTGTATCACAAGTGTAGTTGCACATTTTATAATTGCATCACACCAAGTGATATATTGTTCCTTATTATTAAAAAAATTTGTTAATTTGAAAAGCAATTCCCAGGTATTATCAATTTTCATATTTTTTTCTTTGTTCTAATTTGTATTTCTCTGATTAAATATTTGCCTTTCGAAGGTGATGTGAACAGGCAAGAGAGAAATACATAGAAAATAAAGTGAGAAGTTGGAAAGATTTGTGTGGATGTGCAGGAAGAAAGCAGAGGACAGGTGGAGCCATTGTGATAGCCTTTGCTTTCTTGTTTCAATCTTTCCTGGTCCCAAGCCCTAATTTATTTGGTCTGTTTGAGATGATGGCAACCATACTGAACTTCAGATCTTCTTGCCAGTAGTATTGCATTTCCTCAGGTTGCTGCGATGTGTGCAGTGGTTGAGGAGCTCCGCCCTCCCTGAGAATTCGCTGTCAGACGCTGCTGGAAGCTGTGGCCCTGCGGCTCCTGGCTGGTGCTTGCTAAGGGATGAGCCCTCTCTTTAAGCACAGAAACACTGGTCCTGCTAGACACTGTAAAAATGAGTGTCTCCTTTCTCCTTGATGATTATTACCTGGTATCCTTAAGAGTAAACTCAGCACAACATTATCCATTTAAAATTTCAGTGGTATTTTAATTAATGACATTTATTTTATCGTGTATAACTGTAAAATTTGATTTAATATTTATTTTCAGAATCATGGTCAACTTACTCCATCACTTTTTTTCTTTAATCCAGAGAATGTCTTTCTATCCTGCACGAAATTCAGAAGAACAAACTTCAGCAGGAATTCTTCTATGAGTTTGAAGGGGGTGTCAAGCTTGGCACTGGGGCCTTTAATTTGGTAAGGAAATAACTATATAGAAACCAGAACTTTTGCAGAAGAACCTAAGGTTTTCTGTGCCTTCTCCACTGCATTTGAACCTCAACCTGAACCTCTTCCTGGGTTGGTTGACAAAGTGCTAGAGTGGGATCAGCTTTCCTGCATTGTGACCCACTGTGTTATAAAGTTATGTGCATGCTCAGAGTAGCTTTGGGTTGTGTGGTGTAAGGGAGGCGTGTGGCACCCTGAACGGACTAGTAAGGTTTTTGGTAACAAGGAACAGTGGAATCCATTTCTATTTCCACATCAGAAATGTTGCAGTGGCAATGACGGCTCTGGAATTGAAAATGTGTGAGGGAGCTGTATAACTTGAGGAATGATTTCTGATGATCCCTGAGGAGACGAAGTCTGAGTAGTAATCTGTCAAATTCCAATATGTTATTTAGAGATTTTTAAATTTTATTAATGGTTCAGTGGAATTAGTGAGAAAATAAAGTGGTCGAGAGAATCATTCACATGAGCGTATGTGCCACTGTGGCGACTTTACTCATGAGCGTGTTGGGGGATGACTGGGAAAGAGGTTGATTGGTACCCACAGAATGGACTGTCCTATCCAATTGGTTGTTAAAATCCTCTTCTGCTAAGGTCATCCTTTGGTGTGTGTTCACATGGGACACAAATATCTTTACATTTTCTGCCCATTCAAAAAGATCTATCCACGTACTTCTTCCCCAGACCTCCTTGTCACCAATTTTCCAATCATGTTCTTTTCAAGCCACTGTCCATCCAGCCAAACCATTGTCTGCAGCCCCTGAATCGGCGTATAATTGCACATCTGGCCATTTCTCCTTCCAAGCAAAATGCATAACTAGGTGCACTGCTCAAGGCTCTGCCCACTGGAAGAATATTCCCTCCCCCACTGTCCTTCAAGAAACATGTCAGAGAAACGGGGTAGTGCTGCAGCTGTCCCCTTCTGGGTGGTGTCTACACTTTGCACAGAATTATGACTGATTTTTGCTTCTGGGAAAGGAAACTAAGAAACCTTGCCTAGACGTGGGCTCTGAGGGGTTGCCTTCTTGTCACTGCATCACACCACATCAAAGGTCCCAGTATTCTTTAGAGATTCCTAGAAAGACCAGGCTTAAAAAAAACCCTTTTATCATGCCTATAATCCCAGCATTTTGGGAGGCCGAGGTTGGGTGGATCACGAGGTCAAGAGATTGAGACCATCCTGGTCAACATGATGAAACCTCCATCTCTACTAAAAATACAAAAATTAGCTGGAGGTGGTGATGCATGCCTGTAGTTTCAGCTACTTGGGAGGCTAAGGCAGGAGAATCACTTGAACCCAAGAGGTGGAGGTTGCAGTGAGCCGAGATTGTGCCACTGCACTCCAGCCTGGCAACAGAGTAAGACT